TTCAGCAAGAAGCAGTCAGAGAGAAAGCAACATCCACAAACCCATAGAGGAGAAAGGGGGGAATGAAGGGTCCCCACCAGTAAGATGGCAAACTTCCGGCTTCTCTTCGGGGTCCTCAGTTCCCGCCAGCGCCACCTGAAGCCCAATCACCTCTCGCCCCCCTCCCAATCCCAGCACCTAGCCAACAGCCACCAGCCCCGTAGAAGTGACACCTCAATCAATTCATGCCCCTTCCTATATAACCCAGCACCTTTCCCTAATAAAGCAGAACTGTCCGGTGAATTGCTGCTATGTGTCGCTCCTTTCCTTTCAGTACTTATTAAAGTAAATTAAGAAAGTAACAAAAACAGGGACACAGGAAGGGAAAAATACACTGATACTCTCACCACTTGTTAATATTTGCATGTAATCAGTATATGGCATTTACTGGTATGTAATGGTAAAAAGAGGTAACAGATTACGAGAAAGGCATTCCGAGTTCAAGGAAAATGGGAAATGAGCATTCTGGCACATTCCCTAATTCCCCAGCTTCCTGAGGCACCTACAAAAAGAGTTTAGCCCTCAATTTGGAGGGTAATTCCATTTGAACATTATAGCTCCTCAGGCAAGTATTTTTCAGAAGGCCTTGGCTGATGGTTGGTTAGAGCAAGGGGAGGATATTAGTGCTGTACTTACTCAGCTACCTTCGCCTTCACCAAAACCTTCTGGGCTCCACCTGCTGCTTTATTTAGCCTGTTCTTGTCTGTCCTGTAGTCCTTACAGAGTTGCATCAGCTTCTGTATTTTGTCAAGTTCATGGGTTAGATTTTGTGATGTTACTGGTAGGTGGATGTCAAGTATAGGATTTGCAACTTTCTCTATGTCCTCTGGAGGCATGTCTTCCTCTTAAATAAGAAGTTGGGTTTTAGTTATTATGACTCCTTATCAATGGTGTATCTTGTAAATATAACCACAAGGAATTCTAAGTCAAATACACTGATATTGATTATGGGTCCCCAGAATACAGGCATTAGACTCTATGTGTCCCACGGAGTCTTCCCCACCCTCAATTTTCCCTTTTCCCTCAAACCAATACTGCTTGTGTAGTCCTGAATACATGCTATGCAAATGCTTGTTGGGAAAATGAAAACTACAGACTGAGGATATTGTATATGTCTTACAAAATATCCTCCCAAGGATTACTTACTGTAAGTACAGACTCAAAAGCAATGAAAATGTTTAGATGCCTCTCTTTAATACTCAGACACAATGAGTGAACAATTGGGAAGCTCTGGGTTTAGACTCAACAAAACTTGATTCCAATCCTGTATGATATTAACATGGCTCACAATTTTTGGTCATTTGTATAACTGGGTAACTATACCTGATGCTACTACTCATAGGCCTATTTTCAGAAGGGAATGTGACAATACAGAGTAAAGTACCAGCTGAATAACATATTATAAAGAAATTTGTAAATCCACCTATGCCCTGCTTTTCAGAAAAATAACATTGGCACCTTTTGAGAACTGAGTGGAAGATGGACTGTGTTTAGGGTGATAACTTTTTGTGTTCTGTCTCCTTATTGACATATGATGCTAAACCCACAGGGGAAGTTAGAGATGAATAAGACACATATCTAACCCTTAAGGGGTTTACTATTAAGTGGGGAAATAAAAGTTATTCTATATGAATAATCCCACAAGTACACAACTGATAAATGTAAGACAAAATGATGTGGGGTCCAGAGGGAGGAGAAGAACTTTAAAAAGGCATTTAAACCCGGCCTTAGAGGACAGCAGAGATTAACCTTGTGACAGGTTGGGTAAAAGGTGGGGGAAAGGGGTTCCAGGCTGAGGGAACAAGAAACAGTATTAGGATCATTGTTGGAGGGAGAGTGAGGTGTCCAAGTGGAAGTTTGGAAAGGTTGGAACCCCTAATGGGAGGCTAAGGAACTTGGGCTTCATGTAGGAGGCAGTGGGCTTGGGATGATTTTTAGCATTTGACTGACATGACAGGAGTGTATATGTCCTTCCTGCAGTCAACTTTTCTTCAGCTATTTTGTGTCACAGAAAAGGAAGATTTTTCTCCCTGTAATAATTTTTGAAAACAGTGACTTTTTTGTGAATAAATTAAAACCATATTTTAAGCAGAATCAGGAGTTGGCTTTTTAAAGAAATAGCAATTCTTTTTATAAAAAACTTCTAATAAAAAGTGAATTTAATTTAATCACATATTCAGTAATCAAACATTCACTGGCATTTATTATGAGGTTACAAATGCAAAATTTTTATGAGCACTTTTAGAGGAAATGATGTATAACTTTGTTAATAAGGAATTCAGACTATAAGAAAAATAGTAAGATGGTCAAAGAATTTCTGAATAGTGTGGCTACTGCATAACTGAATGATAATTTTATTTGGGCTTTATAGCATGGAAAAGAGTAGAACCAGGTGGGGGAAGGGCACTGGCTCCTGGTGACCAAGGCTGTTGGTACCCTGACTAGAGAAGTTTCTTTTATGGAATATGATTTTTCTCTATGCCTACTCTAATTTTTGTTGTGATAATCTGGACAGTTTTTTATTTTTTGATTCCTTTGCTTAATTAAAGTAAAAATTTTCTTAAAAAAAATGTTCCATAGCAATGAGAATTGAGACTAATAAAGGAATAAACCCTATGGCCCTGTTGCAAATTGCTGAATTTGGAAGATGGCTCTAAGAAAGCAGGCAGCCGCTGCTTTCTGACCACTGTTGGGGCTTAGGGCCACATCCCCTTTTCTCATACAACTGGTCTGGCAGTTTTGATTTTAGTTTTGTTTTGTTGTTTGAATTGACTTCTATCAGTAGAAAAAGCTAACATGTTCCTCAATCCAACCAATTTATGGATCTGTGTCCTGTCAGTAACAATGTGTCTAGCTAACTCTTTGAAAATTTGCTTTGGAACAAACAAAATGACCAATAGATTCCACCCCCATTCATTTTTATGCATTATTTTTGTCATTTTTACAGATTATTTTTACTGCCTAATTTTTTTTCCCATCTCAACTAGAGTTGCTAATACAATTTCTAGAATTTCCACAGAGATGGGAAAAAATACTTGGCCACAGAGGTCTCCTAAAAATATGAAACAGATAAACGAAGTGATGGAGCAAAGACTGTAACAGATATCCCAACTGTCCATTAATTCATGTAGAGAGTGTTAAATTATTGAATTTGGAAGATGGCTCTGGAAAAGAAAGCCTCTTAAGATTAATTCCATATAGAGTGGTGCCCAAACTGCAGTACTGGCAGGGAGTAAGGTTTCAGGTCAACTCCAGCTGTACTATTTGATCTTTATTCTTAACTAATAATTCTCAGGGGTTCAATAAACCTCTCCCAAAAAAAGGCACAATGAGGGATAAATTTGTAATTGTAATAATAATTCATAATGCTAATGAATCAAATAGTTCCTTTTGATTAGCCACAGACAGCCAGGATAAGACCTGGAAAATAGTAATAGCTAATAACTAATATTTTAGATGCCATTTCACTAAAATTTGGCATCCTTTGATCTCGTATACTCTGTAGCAGAGAAAGCTATGGAAGCTCACCTCAGGGAATCTGACAGTGTCATCCATGTTGGACTATCCTATTTTTAGAAAAATGCAATAATTTTAAACACCAAACTCATTTGTTTGGAATTTTAACTAAATTCTAGGATTTATTCCTAAGTTAGTTTTATGTAGGAAGCTATAATTTTTTTGGTACAGCTAATATTTGGGATTATTTTCATGAAGATATTTTAAATCAAGCGGTATATCATGTGTCTAATTTGGGCATGTTATTTGCAGTTAATGTAATTTGGACTCAGTTGTGATGTTTGAATATGCATTTTAAAAGAAGAGGAAGAAGGAACAAAAACTCATCCTAATATAAAAAAAAAAATTACCTAACAAAAACTTTGTTAGTTTTCTGATTAAAAGATTCATTTCTTCTTCTTCAGATTCACTTTGGTTTTTCATATTCCTCAGTTTCTCACTCAGCTGGAAGATACTGTTTTTGGAGACTTCTGCCAGTTTACTTATATTTTTTATCTGGAATAAGAAAAAAAATAACAATGAGGAAACACTCAACAATTAGGCACATTCTGTGATGTTTAATTTCCTAGCTATACCAAATAAAACTGTCATTAAAAATGACATAGAAGTCTAGAAATTACACAACAGATTTATTTTCAAGGACTCTTTAAAGAGATATTGTTTTCATTATCATGTTTACTTAGTAACAGAAATTTATGTCTTAAGACATTGTTAGTGATCAAATATTGACCTAGTACTAATGACTTTTCCTGATACAAATCTAAAACCCAGATTCTGTTATAATGAGACATTAGCATTCTATAATATCCACAAATTTCACAGAAATTACTGAGGATTAACTTACAGTGGTCATTATGTTTAATAAGCTGAGAGCATTTTTTCTATACAAGTTAAAGTAGCTACTCTTTTAAACATTCCTCAAATTTAAATAATGTACTTTTTTGAAAGCTAAAAAGACAACATTCCTTCTTTAGTAAATGAGTTTGAACTCAGAGCAGGCTACAAAGATAAATCCTAACACTTTGTACACTTGGTGGAGGGATGATAGGACTAAAAGGCTTACGACCTTGAAGAGCAAATTCTTAATTATGTGATTTGAGAAAGCTCATGGACTTGTTCTTGGGATTCCATCAAGTTAGAGAAAGAGAAAAAAATCAATAGGACAGTATCACCAACAGGTTGGGCCGTATTGAATAAATGAACTGTGACAGAAGTAGGACTAATTAGGATCAAACATAATTAGGAAAAAAAATCGCCCTTTATTCCCCCACAGAAGGAGCTTGCTTAATTTGAGCCTTACAGAGGCTGTGGAAAAGGATTTAATTGTAATCATTAGCAAAAGATTAAACAAGAAAGAAATATTTACATGATTAAAAGTATGTATCTTAGTATTTTTGAGAGTGGTTCCTTATTACTCAGGAGCTTTAATTTTTAGACCAATTTTAGTTTGTAAGAGAGATCTTAAAAGTTCTCATCGCAATGTAACTAGGTAAGGTGATGTATGTCAAGTAAACTTGTGCTAATAATTTCACAATATATGCAGATATCAAACCATTATGTTGTACAACTAAACCTAATACAATGTTATACGTCAATTTAATCTCAATAAAAAAATGATAGGAAGTAAGAATGTGTAAGAGTGAAAAGAGAATTCCGGAAATAAATACTCTGGACAGGAAAGCACCACATTAAACAGATGAAATCTCTGCATAGACTTGTTGAGGTCATGTTCAGAAACACAGAGGTTGGTAAATTATTGCCCTCCTAGAACATCTCTCTGCAGTCCATGTTCTGTCACAACTGACTCCTGAGAATTTCCTCAGAAGCTCTCTGGCACTGTTCCCCCTTGTAAGCAAGAGGAAGATGGCACACCATTTTATCAGCATGACAGCCCTGGGCCCGTCCTTCTCCAGTGCACCACGTGTGTGCTGATTAAGCCAGATGCTGCTCTTATGTACTTCAGGGGCTATTTTAAAAAGTAATAGCTTAAGACAGGGCTTATTTAAATGGTGTGAGATTTCTGTGTTTTGAGAAGGGGCAATAGTTTAAAATTACATGAAACAATTGAGGATTGTTTTAGCCACTGGGATGCAAGGCCAGGATATGCACTTGTTGTGTTCATTGCTGCATTCCTAACATCTGGATGAATGTCTGGCTCAAAGGAGGTACTCAATGAATATTTGTTAAAGCAATGAAGAATACCATAAGGGAAAAACTATGCAACAATACAGAATTATGACTACATAAAATTATTTCTAACATTTAGTGTGTGTAGGGATACTCTCCAGTTTGGCTAATTTAGAGGCTTGCTCTGATATATTGATATGAATATAAATGTAGACATAGAAGTAGATGTGAATATTGATTTATTTTATTTTATTTTTATGTATTTTTTATTTTGGCATCATTAATCTATAATTACATGAGGAACATTATGTTTACTAGACTCCCTCCATCACCAAGTCCCCCCCACATACCCCATTACAGTCACTGTCCATCAGTGTAGTAAGATGCTGTAGAATTACTACTTGTCTTCTCTGTGTTGTACAGCCCTCCCTGTGCCCCCCCACATATTATACATGCTAATCATGGTGCCCCCTTTATTTTTTTTTCTCTCCCCCATCCCTTATCCCTCCCTTCCCCCCAAGTCCCTTTCCCTTTGGTAACTGTTAGTCCATTCTTGGGTTCTGTGAGTCTGCTGCTGTTTTGCTCTTTCGGTTTTTTTCTTTGTTCTTATACTCCATTGAGTGAAATAATTTGATACTTGTCTTTCTCTGCCTGGCTTATTTCACTGAGCATGATACCCTCTAGCTCCATCCATGTTGCAAATGGTAAGATTTGTTTTCTTCTTATGGCTGAATAATATTCCATTGTGTATATGTACCACACCTTTGAATATTGATTGATTTTATATAGTAAACATATGTGTGTAAATATATATGTATTTCATGTATAATAAACTTGGATTCTGGAACATGTGGAGCAAGGTCATGGGACCAGCTGGGGCTCAGGCCCACTGAGGTGAAGCTCACAGTGCACACTGCTGCTGTGTGTTTGTGTGTGTGTGTGTGTGAGTGAGGGCTGTGGTTCTCAGCCCAATCCCAAGCTTGGCCCTCTATCTTCCTCTCAATTCTGAGACCTAGATGTCTTCATATACATTTCCTTTGTATTCAGGAGTCATATTCTGTTGCTTGCAAACAAGAATATGGACTACTATAATATTTAACTTATCTTGGTAAAAAATTCAGCTTTTTAGGAGCTTTTTCTTCTTCATCAAAGGCTCTATGTGTATTGTCAGAGAAGGAGTGAATTAAGAAACACATCACTATTGTATTTTCAAGGCAAATACAGTGCATCCACAGAATACCTACAACTGGAGTCATAAAAAAATCTAAAGAAAGCTAGGTAATTAAAAATTATGCTCATTTATCAATACGACCAGCACTGGGTCACTGCCTGTTGAGTGAATGCTGTTCATCCCTGTTGTCCCTCACTGTGGACCACAGCTGTGCTAAAATACATGAAATCATTTGAAATTATTAGAGATATAATTATCAAGTATGTAAATATTAAAACAACATTATCATGTCTGTTGACATAAGAAGATGTTCAAGACACAAGGGTATATGGCTGTTAAGATATTTTGTAACATTAAATCAAATTCTAATTAAATTTAAATTCTTTAAAATTTGTATATTTAGTAGAATTTCAAATATATCATTGATTTTGTAAAAAATTACTCTTTACTTTGAGAGGTGTATATTTTTTTAAATCAAGTATAGGCGTTTTCACATTTCTGTAAAATGTGCTATAAAAGAAACATGTCCACACAAGCCTATGTCCTACAAACATATATTTTGCATTCTTTCTCTTCTCTCTCTCTACAACACACACACTACATTATATGCATAAACACATATAAATAAATATTTACACACATATATTTCATTTACTATATAAAATAAGTTAATATTCACATCTACTTTTAAATCTACATTTATATCAAATCTGTATTTTTATCATATACTTCCAGGCATAAGAATTCTTAATATCTAGAATCTGTCCTTTCAATTAGAAGCAAATGGCAGTATTTAAAAATTCAAGTAGTTTGCATTTTTTTAGTACCAGAGCTTTGCAAGTAGAGTAAGAGAAGACGTTAACCTACCTGATTCTTTACCCCGTGAGCCTGGCTGCTCCAACTGTGAATCATGGACTCTGCCTCCTGAGCTTTCTGCAGGGCGGTCCCGGAGAGGGCCAGGGGGCCGCCACAGCACGAGAGCGCACACACGTCCCCTCGTTCTCCACACACCTTGCAAGGGAAACAATTTATGTTAAAGAGCAACTTGTTGGTAGTTTCGTCTAATGCCATGCAGGCTTGCGGAAGTAAAGCACTGCTCTGTTATTACGTGCTTCTTCCGTGGTCGTTCATGTTCAGTACGTAGATTACATGTCTTAGGTAACTGAATCAGTTCCTAAATTTTTTGTTATTAACATTGTGCCAATCAATGTCATTTTTATACCTAACTGTTTTTGGGGAAAATATTCAAATGTCTAGCATTTCCATGTTAATTTCATTTTTTTTAACAAATATGGAGGAAATGTCCATAATCTGTATCATTTTGTAAACAGCAATAATATAAAATAATAAAATCAAGTCACAAGCTTTACTCTTTTCCTCAAACTTTGACTTAAGAAATTAAAAAATATGCATGTATCTATATAAAAAAACAGCATATATATGTTACTACAGTTATACATTTATAAAATACAAATGAAAAAAGAAATAGACAGGGAAATACAATTGAACAGATCTGCACACCAAGTAGAAACCACACACACTTATACTGTATCATCATGAATATTTACCTTTTCATACAATATTTGGCTATTTGGTATCTTAATCTGCTTCAGTTTTTCCAATGATAGGTTTCCTTTGGCAGTTAGTGTATCTACAATGGTGTGTAAGTCCCTCCTGATTTTTTCAGAGTTATTTATGATGGCAGTTGTTTCATTAGTTTTCCTTTCAGCAGATAGTGATCTCTGATAATACTTCTTGATGTTCTCTGAGATGTCTACATTAAATTGAGTTAAGATAAATTTCGTAAAAACAAACGAAATTATACATTGGTTATCAAGATCATCATTCTACAATTTGACTACTGTCTTGGTCTCAATGATCAATGCAAAAACACAACATTCTCTTCCTTGAATTTGCACTTACTGGGGAAGAATTAAGTGTAGTGTAACAGATAAAATAGAAACAGAACTCTGAGATTTAAGTCTGCAGATGTGGGTTTGAAAGTTGACTTCACCCTTTACTGTCTGGGTATGTCCTTGAGCAAGTTAGTTACTGTCTTAGATTGTGTTTCCTTACCCTTAAATTGGTGATAGTAATTCGTGAAGATAAGTGAGACAGTATGAAATTACTCTGTAAAGTGTTCCACAAATGTATTATTATTAATTATGATTACCTATATGATCCCTAATATGACAAGCGCACCAAGTTTACATAACTACAGAGCAAGAGTTGACAAACTTGTTCTGCAAAAGGCCAGAGAATAAATGTTGTAGGCTTGCCAGCTACAGTGTTTCTGTCACAACTACTGAACTCTACCACTGTAGAGTAAAAGCAGCCAGACAATATATAAATAAATAGGTGAGGTTGTCACACAAAAAACAGGTTATGGGTAGGCTTTGCTGGCAGACCGCCAGCCTCTGATTTTGAGGATGACGACAGTAGCTAATATTTGTTGAATGCTTTCTGTACACCTGTACTATCACAAATTTTCTTCCTTAATGCTCACAAAACTCTGTGACGTGTGCATTAGGGTGATCACCCCTATTTTACAAGTGATAAAATGAGGCTCTGATGAGGTAAATTATTTGCCTGAGGTCTCATTGTTAGTAGGAGATGAAGCCAGGCAGTTTGACTCTAGAGGCTGTGTTCTTAAGCACTTCTCTGTATTTTCCATATTTTTATTAAAACACAAACTCATGAAAGTTATATGGCATGTTTTGATGCACATGATAGCATATTTGGGCTTTAAACTGTAACTCCATACTTTAGGAGCCAGAGGCCCCGGGTCCTGATCTTTCTTTCCCATATGCGTAATGTAGCGACAGCCGGCCACACCGTCCATTTTGAACCCTCCTGGTTCTTACGCTAGCATACTCTTGAGATGTTATGATTCCCATTCACTATGAGAAAAACCCCAAACCCAAAAAACCACCACTGTATTCCTTTTGCTTGGGATGATTTTCTGCCTTTATCTGACAAATTTATCTTCATTCTGTGAAGCTCAATTCAATTGTCACTACTTCTCAAGTATTTGCTAATAAACCCCAGAGGAATTTTGTTCTCATGACTCTGTTCCTGAAGCAGTGTGAAGATGTTTTAAGGTAGTCTCTTCATTGTTCGGGGTTGTTTATACACCTGTTTTCTCCACTAGACTGGAATAACATAAGGGCAAAGACTTGCTGTATTCATCTCCCCACCTCTACTGCCCAGCTCAGCGTCAGACATGGGGAAAAGGCTCTGCTGCTACTGGACTGTGTGTTTGGGAGGAGGAGCACGGGGGCAGTTTTCCATCTTCTGCCTGGGTTGAGAGATCGCTGATGGATTTTCAGCTCTTTCAGTGGGTACCTTCTTCCAGATCAGGAATTAGAACAAATTCCTTTCTCTTTATGTAGCATTTATTGATAATTATCAATAGTTATTTTGCCATTTAGGCCTTCCTTTAGGGTCATAATTATCATCTAGTTTTTTTCTTTAAAGTCAAGATCAGATGAAAAACAGGAGCGTACACATAGGATAAGGAAAAAGCAGACAATGTTTTTCCTTGAGGTGGGTTTCATGTGTATTTTCCCTTTACCTCTCAGTTAGATGGTTCACTGCTGCCTCTATGGGTAGTCACAAATTTTCCATTTCTATATGTAATAGGGATCTCATCAGAGATTAGGAGATGAGCTAATCAAAGTTGTGCTTTAGAGTTTATTTCTCCTCCAAGTGATCCTGGCTTGGGCACAGCTCCCATTCATTTTTAAGAACCATGCGATATGAATCAAGGGCTTCTAGGATGTTAATGACTCCACATCACTATGAAGTTCTTATGAAGTTGTTTAAGTCCTTTTTTTCTCATATTCCTTTGCACTTTTGGTTGCTCAAGAAGTGACTTATACTCAGGCAGGCATGGAAGCATCTCTCCCTCATTATTGCCATATTAGAATGTCTAAGTGCTGATGACACAAGTCCTTTTGCATGGTTTGGTATCAGACATTGTTAGCTTTATTCATTATTTTGAGCAAATGTTATCCAGGTTTTACAATGCTTAAAAAGTTGAAATTTTCATGTGCAAATAATACCTTTATATATAATAATGGGTGTGTTTTCATGTTCTAAAGTGCTCAGGTACTATGGCAATAAGCCCATGATGACTCACTAATGGAATGCACCATGGACTTAATCAATCCTTCCAGAAACAGACAGCTAAAGTGCATTTTCTCTCTTACCCATGATGTTTGCATTATGGACACTGGAATGCAAATCAATTTCTTCTTTGAGACTTTCAAGCAAAAGGTCTGCTTCACTCCTCATTCTTACTAATATTTCTTCTAAATCTTGAAATTCATACACTGTTTTCAGTTGCTCACTTAGCCGCCTGGTTTGTCTCCTACAGGGGAAAATGAGAGTATATGTAGTGAAGCTGTTATTGCATTTGATAGATTGGTGAAAAAAATCACACATAAAAAAATTGCCCTCATTATTAGGTATCCTCATAATTAGAATGGATTTTCTGCCCCAGTTTTTTATTTGACAATTTATAACTCTGTTTATGGCTTATCTCTTTCTTGTTAATTCAGCTTCCTGGAATCTTTCAGTGCTTACTTAAAATATGATCAGCCTACAAAGTGTAGTAAAATATAAACATTTTTAAATCTTTCCACTTCAACTGTTTATATTCTATCTCCCTTTGCTTTGGGTTTTCAAAACATGTATTTAGACATGGTTCATTGGTTTAACAGATGCATATTTGGCTTTCAGCATGGAACCCCTCACTTAGCCTTGGATAAAAATAAGTTCCTCAATGAGAATAAATCTGCTTCCAGCAAGATTCTTCTTGGTGTTACTTCTGTATAGGGTCTGAGCTTTCAGTTTCCACATGTGAGGAGGCTTCCTCGGTGGCGAGTGTGTGGGTGTGCTCCTTGTCTGTCACCTTCTTTGATGGATCACACTTCTGCCCTGCCTCAGTTTGCTGGGCTCGGCACAGACCATTGGTGCAAGTGAATCGTCAGTATATCCCTCTGGATGGGGAAACCAGGTGCAGATCTTGAGTACAGTTGAGGGAAATTATAATACAAATTTATGGACTAATTTATCTTGGCACAAGTGCAAAGCATTAATTAATGCTGCCTAGCATTTTCTGCTCTAACTCTCCTTCTAATCCACAGACTTTTCTTCAGGCTTCAACTGTCAGGATGATAATTCTTCAGGGTAATAATGACAATAATAGTAATTACTATTATTATCATTGGTTCTCTTTAAACACTTAGTATGTGCCAGACACCATACTCAGTGGCTTGAGTAATTCTCACAAGAATCCTATGAAATAGGAACTACCCCTGTTTGATAAGAAACTGAAGCTTGGAGAAGTGAATAGCTTGTCCAAGGCTGTGCAGCAGTAAGTGGATTTGGACCCTGAAGGTTTGACTTCTGAACTTACACTCATGACGTCCTGGGTTCTCCCTCCTCCCTGCCCTTTGGTTTGTAGTTTACCCAACAACCATATATTATATCATGAAACTGGGTATAGAGAATACAAGCACAGAGAATGCAGCTCTGGCCTCAAGAGCTCCCCAGTCAGGCAATGGCAGGTGATCCACAAAGAGGTGGGAAAATGGAGAAGGAAGCACAGGCCTTCTCTGAGGAGGTCAGGGAAGGCTTCTGGGAGGAGGTGGTATTTGGGCGGCACCAAAAGATGGGGACCAGGAGACAGGCATTTGGCTTCTGTCTGAAGAGGCCCATTAACCAGTGCTCTCCTTGTCACTTCAGCAGGGACTCCCGCTCTTGCCCTCCTCTCTCTGGCTCTGCCCAGGGCTCTTGCAGCCTCTCTGTCTATGATGTCCACTGCAGGAAGGCTCATTCTGCTTTCTCAGTTCCACTGTGCCATTTTCTGTAACCACAAACCAGTGCTCAAAGCTCATTCTCAGACATGTTTCTTTGGCCTATAGAGTATTTTTGAAAAGAACTATTGGATTTTGGCTATTTTAAAGTGAGGACAATTCCATAAAAATCTACATATCTGACATCTAAAAAATGGGTTGATCTGGGAACACAGTTCAAATCCTGTAGTGCAACAGTCTTTATATAAGTATTGATGTTCCTCTTCTTACCTGCCAGCTTGACTTGGCCATGTGACCTCCCCGGGCCCTGCAGCTCTCTTTACGACACAGGTGGCACTGCCTGTGAAGTATCCAGGTGAACTGTACCATATTCCTTGTGTAACATTTATGCAATTACCATATACTTCTGGGATTTTTGCCTATTGATAATGAACAGCCTTATGTTTACACTTATGTTTTATATAATATAAAACCCTGCAGCTTCAACTATCCTTTAATCCAGGACCTTCTATGAAGGATGGAGGGATTTGCTGTATAACCACAGTCTTTTTATTTTCTTAGTGGGCTGTACACTTCTAGAAAGGTGGAGACTACCCAATTCATCCTGGTTTTGCCAAGAGCAATTTGGCAAACTTTTTCTGTAAATTTTTTACTGTATAGAAAGTAGTAATATTTTTCTGTAAATATTTTAGGTATTGGGGACCATAGTGTCTCTGTCACAACTACTCAACCCTGCCACTGTAGTGGGAGGGCAGCCACAGAAGATACCTATATCAATAGGTATAATTGTGTTCCAATGAAACTTTATTTATAGAAAAGGGTTGTGTGTCAGATTTTGTCTGTGGGCTGTGGTTTGCTGAGCCCTGGCCTAGAGCAACCAACATAATCTCTAGAAATGTTTGATGACTAAAAAAAGGATTAAATAACACATGATAAACATGATATAGCATTTTGAAGCCATTATCATACTCATACAAGATTTCATGTTAATATATGGGCTTCTGAGTGACTGAAGAAATTGGGAAGATTTAGCAAATTTCCCTGAGTGCATGGTTGAGAAAAAATATTTGTGTTAGAAACCACTCTTTCAATTTCATGTTTTTTAGCTCTGCTGTGTGTGGATTTCCCAATCAACTTCCTAATGATTGGCTTTTTGTCATCATTATCAATGGCATCTGGAAAATTTACCCATAACCTGAGCTAGGTAAGAAAGAGACAGGCAAACATCATCGCCAGCCTGGTTTTTACTTGAAAAATTATCATTTCCTTTATGTCGACATAGGCACATTTCTAAATTGAAGGCTGTTAACACTCAGTTGGAGATAAGGTAAGGCAGGAACTTGGCTGTCTATTGCTTGAGTACAAATCTTACCGGACAGAGTCATGATAATCCTTGACTTTTAAGAATTCCCCAGATGAGAAAACAGGATGTTTCAAAATCCTTTCTATTTCAGACAAGTTCTCTCTGAGGCCTTTGAAGTTGGCCTCACAGACGGGCAGGGTCTCCCTTTTATCTTCCATGTTAGCAGCCAGCCTAATTAACCCTTGCACGGCTTCGGAGAGGGGAGCAATGGTGTGGTCCCACTGATCAAAGCACACGTGGCACCGAAGACAAGCAGGGAATTCCTGGCCATGACCCCGGGCGCAGCGATCACATCTCTGGCCGCTGACACCCTCCCGGCAGTGGCACATGCCTGTGCCCTGGTCACACACGGGCCTCTGGGTACCTTCCCTGTTGCAGTCACATGCTAAAAAGGAAGAGAAAAGGAACAAACAACTTCGGTCACCTGACCTTTTGCTTATGACTAGCTCAAGAATAAAGTCTTTTCCCCTGAGAATCTCCCCAACTCCCACTTCAAAGGTGAACATTTAAAACCAGTGTAATTTCAAAGGTCTGTGCATTGGCCATTGAAATACAACATTCCTCTTTTCATTGCACTATCAGGTCATGGTTTCTATATGGAAAATGTTGAATGTCATTTTTACTGTGTGTCACATGTGGGTTCTTCACTTATTTGAGTGGGAAACATAGATCTGATGGTGGGCAACATACTAATGACTGCTGCTTATTGTCCCCAAGAGAGATTCAGGCATGTCACAGACTTGCTAAGAATTCCCATGACCATACATTTTTCTTAATAAAACCTATGGGTGTGCTGACCCATACTGCCTTCCATTATATAAGGAGAACTATTCCATTCTCAAAAAAGGGGGGGGAAATTGCTCATTAGTATTTACTCAAAGGAATTGAAAACTCTTGCCCACACAAAACGCTGCACAACAGATCTTTACAGCAGTTTTATTCATAATTTCCCAAACTTGGAACAACCAAGGTGAAGGGATTAACTGTGGTACAATTAGCCAGTGGAATATTATTTAGCACTAAAAAGAAATGAGCTTCAAACTGAAAAGATGTAGAGAAAACTTAATTGAAAGAAACTTAGAGGAAACTAAGTGAAAGAAACCAGTTTGAAAGACTACATGCTGTATGAGTTTAACTATAGGATACTTAGGAAAAGGCAAAATTACAAAGACAGTAAAAAGATCAGTGGTTGCTAAGGGAAGGGATTAGGGAAAAGATGAATACATGGAATCCATAGGATTTTTTAGGACAGTGGAAATACTCTGAATGATACTATAATCACAGATCCATGTCATTATATATTCTCCCAAACCCACAGAATGTACAACCCCAAGGGTGAACCTCAGTATAAACTATGGACTTTGGTTATTATGATCTGTCCGTGTGGGTTCATCAATCGCAGTGAATGTGCAACTCCCGTGGGGATGCTGACAGCGGGGAGGCTGTGCATTTGTGGGCACAGGGCTGTGTGGGAAACCTCTGTACCTTCTTTTCAATTTTGTTGTGAACCTAAAACTGCTCTAAAAACTAAAGTCTGTTTAAAAAGGGGGGGAAATGAAATTCATTTTGTCTCCATTAAAAGAAAAAAAAAAACTGATGCTACATGCACTTTAATTGAGTAGTTTTTTTTTTTTGAGAGGGCATCTCTCATATTTATTGATCATATGGTTGTTAACAACAATAAAATTCTGTATAGGGGACTCAATGCACAATCATTAATCAACCCCAAGCCTAATTCTCAACAGTCTCCAATCTTCTGAAGCATAACAAACAAGTTCTTGCATGGTGAACAAGTTCTTACATAGTGAATAAGTTCTTACATGGTGAACAGTGCAAGGGCAGTCATCACTTTGGTTTTGATCACGCATCATGAACTATAAACAATCAGGTCAAATATTATTTGTTTGATTTTTATACTTGATTTATATGTGAATCCCACATTTAATTGAGTAGGTTTTTGATTAAGCTTGAGGATGGAGAATGGGGAGAGCTATTGAAGTTACTGCAATTTCCAAAAGGTCAGGGAATCTCTAGCCTATGTTGGTGACTAACTGCAAAGAACGAAGATTTAAAAATGCATTTGACAGCTTAAGTAAAGATAATGCTAATTACAAATAATAACCAATTAACACACAGGGCTCCTCAACCAGATACCATCTGTCTGGCTCATTCACACTGGTTTAGAGCTCTCTAACAGGAGCCCCTCTAGGGTGGTACTCTGTCACTCTGTCACCAGCTAGATGCCAAGGCTCCCCTTATTAACTGCTTTTCCCAGGATTGTTAGCAGGGTCTGTGGCTTGAGTTGACCATTTGCAAAGTTTTCTCTAAGGTGAAAGAATTTTTATAAATAAGAATGTTGAAATAGTAGAGGGACTCAGGGAAAGAGGCTCTCTAAGACAGTTTTCCCAGGAACCAAAATTACTCTTTGGGTTTTAAAGTATTCAGAAAATAAAGTAAGTGGAGCCAGGGGAAAACAGTGAGAATATGTATTTGAATGGGGCAAGGAAATGAAGGCAGTTTTTTTTTAGCCACAAAAGCACATTTATACAGGAATGAAGAAGAGGAAAGGGTTACCATGTGGCTAGGTAGAGGTGACCCTATAAGTTCATCGCATCTGATGAATCTTTAGATTGACCTCTTTGGAAACTGACTTTAAGTAGAGATGCAAAGACTACTTAAAGAGATTCTGAGAGATTCCTCCTCTCCGAATCAACCCAGATTCTAAATCTGCACTATCCAATATGACAGCCACTAACTGGCTATTTAAATTTAAATGAAATAAGTAATTCTTTCCCTGCATTGCACTAGCCACACTGCAAGTGCTCAACAGCTACATGTGGCTAGTGGCTCCTGCACTGGACAGCGCAGGTGCAGAACATTTCTATTTCTTCAGAAAATTCTACTGGATGGTGCTGCTCTAAATCCTACAACTAGCGCTAAGACATGGGATAAAGGGCACGAGAACACAAACTCCCCGAGGCTAAGGTCCTTGCCCTGTTTGTTCACTCTCTAGAACACCCAGCAGGCACACTATGAATATCTGAAAATGAATGAATAAGTGAGTATGTGTAGACCCAGGGTTACGAGATACATGTGGAGGAGACAACCCCTCTGCAGGCTTCTTATGATCCATCTTCCAGCCTGTATCTCAATCCAGAGTAGCTGTTTTTGTCAATATGCTTCCAAATAGCAGAAAATTGGCCCCAAGTCATGGCCTTAGGTCTGCTGCATTTCAATGACTTGAGGAATTTTAACATGGGCTAACATTTAGTATAGACTAAAGTTTTAATATCGGAGAAAAAACCTTTTTTATAGGGCTACAAAAATGTTATTTTATAACTAGAATTAAACTTGGTGATTTTTCTACCAAATAAACGAATTTAAAGTTCAGTTTGTGCATAGTATGCCTGTGGTAGGACCAGATTGGCTGTACGCATGATTTTAGAATTGCCAGTACTTACGAAGGCATCGTCCCAGCGGATCACTGTAATAATTTTCCTTGCACTCACTGCAGCGTTTCCCATCATGGCCTAATTTACATGGACACTGGCCTGTAAGCTATGAGAACAGTCATGGGTGAGGAACTGACAAGCTTTATGGTCTAAAAAAAATGCATTTTAATACAAAACAGTCTTCCCTCCAGTGTCTTAGGACATACAGCTGTGCCAGGGCAGAGGAAGGGTGGTTCCCATGGCCAGCAGCCACCCCTACCAATACCAAGGATCAGGAGTTCATGTGTTCTGCCTTAGGGTTCCAGAATATACAGCCTGCTTCCAGCTGTTCAAGGACAGGTGGCCCCAAACTGGGAAACATACACAGATGTAAATGAAAACAAAACACATAATGGGAAATGGGCCACATTCTTTTCCTCTTCAGTTATGGGAGTTCTCCCATAACAGAGAGGGGCCAAAGAGCTGGACTAACTTTCATCAATTCATTTGGCAAATAATGTTTCCATAATTGAATGTACAACAGAGTTTCTCCCAACTGGGCTAGTGTTTTTCTTAACAAAACAACATTTTTTGTACTTGGTGCTAAATAATTTACTGACAGTTATATTTCACAGTGTTTTTGGGAGAGGGAGGAACTTTCCTGTATCCTCCCAACTGGATTCTTGACCAGGTTTTCTGAAAACCCAGGGAGTTGGAAAATTAATGGGAGAAAAATGTAGAAGCAAATAATTATTGTTGTGGTCTTAGGTTATACTTGACTAAATCTGCTTAAACAATAACTCTCTAAGTAGGTGGATTTATAAACTGACTGGATATACCAAGCTTCTACTCTAATCTTTAGAGTTCCCACTAGCTTCTGCTGAAATAAAGCAAGTTATGGGGAGCTTGTTGCTCTGGAGGGCCTGTCATATTGTTGGTTGTCTTTGATTGTTGGGCAATACTTTGTTACACTGATGCAGAATCTGCTCTTTGCAGCCTCCCTTTTCTCTCTTCCAATCCTCCTCCCAACTAGAGGGGGCCATTCTCTACTTGTGCTTGCTTCTCTTCTTCAGGCCGGCCACCCCTAAGTCCTTCAAGCCTTCAGCACAGAATAGCATGGTTCTACCCACTACCCTGACTGTCTTCCTTTGGATGCATGCTAGTTTGTCAACATAATGTTTAAAATGTGGTACCCACAAATGACAACGAAGCTCCTGCAGCTGTCTGACCAGTATGGAGGACAAAGGGACAAATGACTGCCCTGAACTGGGACATGGCATTCCCATTACTCCAGCCTGAATGGGCATCGCTGCTCCAGCAGCCTGGCCACACTGCTGGCTCACTTGAAGCACGCAGTGAAAATCCTCAGATGTTTTTCACACAAGGTGGTGCCAAGTTTTTACTCTCATCCTGTATTTATGCAGTGGGTTTTTAAAACCCAATTGCAAAACTTTACTTTCATCCTGTCAACATTTCATCTTGTTTCTAGACAACAAGATAGCCTGTTAGGATATCTTGTCTCTTATTCTGTCTTTATCACATTAGCTTACAACTGCAATATCTGCAGATCTGATAAGCATGTTCTTCCAACTCCCTCTAACCTGTTGATGAAAATAATGGGTGGCACGTTTGGATCTCTCTGTAGGAATGCACTAGGATCATCTACTGACTGACACAGAGACATTTATCAGTAGTTGTTTAAACAGCTGGGAATCTAAGGTCCACATGTCTCCTCTATCTTCCAGTGAAAGTGTTTCCTGATTATAAAGAACAACCATTCCTAAGGAAACCCCTGTAACCAGGCAACCTCAAATACCCTTGTCATAGGAGTATTGGTTAAACAAGTGCCATCAGATTTTCAGCTTCATAGGCTTCCCTTAGCCTCTATGACTGAACTCTAGCCTTTGTTGAGTGCTGCTGGAAACAGGCTTCCCAAAAGACCTACAAAGCATGCAAGACAATGATGTCATGAACATCAGGAATTCCTCATGAATTAGAAAGCCAAGCAGTCACATGGAAATCTCCTAGTTTGTTCCATGGCTTGTGGCTGCATGTGTGAGGAGTGGAAGGGAACCCATAAAACAGGCAAGGCCATCTAGTGCCTAGATCCCATTCTCCAGTGAAAGCAACCAGCACTCCTTAAGGAAGTGACTGATTCCAGGTCAGGGGCAGGAAATACACAAAATGAACTAAGAGTATCTTGTAGTACAGAGAGTAAGGAAATACTTAAAGAAAACCAACCCCCCCAACAATACGGGGGTATGTCAACGGAGTACAGAAGCCAACTGAAAGAACTCCCAATGACCAAAGCTGGAATAACATGAACAACAAAATAAAGTTGTACTGGATTGTAACTCAAAGTACAGTATAAATATCCATGATTCCCTATGGTTATTTTTTTTTTAATGATTGAATAAGGGAAGAAAGGGGGACAATGGACAAATCTCCAGAGCAGAAGAATTCCAAATAACGCATGGAGATTCTCTGCTCTCAAGGGTGGAGAGCATAACTGTGTAGAGCACAGCATGGGAAGGGGGGAGAAGAGGGACTTGACGGTATAGAAATGTGACAAACATGACTTCAGTCAGGTGGTCCAGATTCATGTTGACAGTGGTAAGATGTGTAACTGGTGTGTACCCTTGACGTGATGTGCTGAGAACAGCATTTACCTCTATGGTGTTCTTTTCAAAAGCTGTCATCCAAGGTTAATCATGAGAAAGATACCAGATAAATTTGAATTGAGGGGCATTTTAGAAAATATTCCTCAAAACTGTTGAAGTGAAAAATAAGGAACATCTGAGGAACTGTCCACAACCGAGCGGAGCCTGAGAAGACACAGTGACTGAATGTAATGCGCTATGCTGGACTGGGTTCTGGGACGGAAGAAGGACACAGGTAAAGACTAAGGAGATCTGAATATATGATGGGCATCAGTTAATGGTCATGTACCAATATTGGTTCATTGATTGTGACACATGTACCATACTAATGTGAGATGCTAGGAAATGGAGGAAACTGGGTGTGGGGAACCTCTTCTCTGCACTATCTTTACAACTCTTCAATAATCTAAGTCTATCCTAAAGTAGAAATGTATTAAGGAAAAGGAGGTCACGGTATGTGTTTGTGTGGGTATGGGCTGGAGAAGGTTGAAAAGAGAAGGGCAACACTATATAAGAATTACCTTCAAAAGTTTACTTGTATAAAATTTGACTTTTAAAATGTTGAACAGTGGAGCTGAAATTGGAGGTGAGACATACATGTTAGTCGGAAAGACTCTTAGTTTAAAAGAGTTGAAAGGCTCTTTTACTTTACGTTAGTCGAAAGCTTCTTACATTAGCATTTTAATTCCAATTAAATCTTGTATTGTGGATTTTACTCTAAAATTTGTCATTGTTTCACCCTTTCCCCCCATTTCCACTAACGTGAAAGTGTTTCAAAGGATATACTAAGCTGAAAACACTTAATCATGATGTTAATATATTTTTTATAAATAGATAATATTCTTTAAGAAATTCTGTGCTCATTGTTTCCTTGACTGAAAATCGTATGTGTGGTTAAGCAGCGTACATTAAGAAGATCTGCTTCTAGTACACTAGCCTGCTTTCTTTAGGAACAACTGACACTGGTCTGGTAGTAAAGTCTTCCTATTTTACCCATACGTGAAGCAGTTGGTGAGCCATAGGGGATGACAGCTCAATTTGAAGAATGGAGCTAAGGGTTCTGAAGACACCTTTTAATTTTCCTTTTGATTAACAATCAATCCTGACTGATGGTCAGTTTCTTGGGGCTTCCCTATTATTATGCATATAAAGTTGCGAAACACAAGATAGTCTGTGTTGTGCTGTGCATGAATTCTGACTTCTGCAGTCACAGAGAGGCCTGGATAAAACTGAAGGAGGCTCAACTTTGAGACCCTCATTCTGTCTGATGCTTTTCATTCCTCAATAAATGTAGACTCTATCCCCATACAAGGCCAGTCCTGTCCAAAAGCACTAATTAACACCAGTATGTAAATAAATGTTTCTTTACTTATTTGGAAACCATGTCTCCCCCTCACTTCTCACCCTCGGCATGCTAGTAAGTTTAAAGTATCTTGCCTGGTCACAGCGGTTACTGTGAGAAGTCCCGGGGTCACAATCACATGGCTGACATCCTCTGCCAGGGACCAGATTCCAGTACCCATCAGCACAGTGGTCACAGGCCTGACCTGTGACGTTGGGCAGACAAGGGCATGCACCAGTGTCAGGGTCACAGAGGCAAGCTCCCCGACCAGGGGGACACTCAGTGGGATTCACGCCAGAAGGGTGGCAGGAGCATCCTGGATAACAGAGCCACTGTTGGAGGTAAATTCAGTGATAACACTGGCATTCAACAAGCCATAGAAACTGCTTTTTAGACCTGATTGTATAACTTCTTCAAAGAGCTCAAAGAAGAAATAGCTTAAAATAATACAGACTTTATCAAAGAATCTAAGCAGGTTGAACCCATTCAACTGTTTTGATCCCCCACATATGGCAATTTCATATGGTTCTGCCTACTAAGTTCCAAGAGTTCACAGCTGGGATGACTGAAAACCTCATTGTTTCCTCATGCCATTCGCCAAAGATTCCTGGGCCTCACCCCCCAAGATTCAACTCAGAGGACCTGAGGGGACAGTCCAGGAATCTGCCTGTGACTACCCCACTCCTGTCCCCAGGTGATGCTGGCACATTGCGCTGTGGACCACACTCTGAGAAGCCACAGTCCCAGTCTGTGAGGGCAGGTGTTGAAGGCAGCAGTCACGTAATGCAAACTAAACCGCAGTGAGCACACTGGCGCTGCACCTGACATACCTGTGGTGGCGCTACAACCACTTCTGCTGATGAGTCCAGTGCAACAGCCTGTCACCCAGCAGGTGCTGCCACTACTGGCCTAACTCTGCCACCACAGTTAAGAGCTGCCACACCACTGCCACATTTCTCCTGGGGTTCCTTGCAGACTTACTCCTGCAGGTCTGATTGATGGCAGATCCGAAGTAACCTGGCCTGCAGAGCTGGCAGCGGGGCCCCTGGGTGTTGTGCAGACATCTAAGGCACTCCCCTGTGACCCGGCTGCAGGCCTCCGGGTCCGTTACATCGATGTTACTGTTGCAGGCACACGGCTGGCAAGGTGCTCCTGAAATTCGTGGATTTCCATAGAAACCGGCAGAGCATTCTCCACACCGCTTCCCTGAGGGAAGGGGTGATAAAAAGGGAATGAGATGAGAGGGGTATGTGTGGGGTGGGGAGAGGGGGATGGAGATTGATGAAAATAGAGAATAACTGGGCTCTTTCAGGGATGAGAGGTCACGCATTGGGATGAATAAGGACAAGTGTTCTAAAATTTAAAAAATCATTCATTAAAATTTTTAAAAATTTATTTTATATACACATATTTTTTATTAAGGTATTATTGATATACACTCTAATGAAGGTTTCACATAAAAAAACAATGTGGCTACTACATTCACCCATGTTATCATATCCCCCCCATACCCCATTGCAGTCACTGCTCAACAGTGTAGTAAGATGCCACAGAGTCACTATTTGCCTTCTCTATGTTATACTGTCTTCCCCATGATCCCCCCCAAACCATATGTGCCACTCATAATGCCCCTCAAACCCCTTCTCCCTCCCTCCCCACCCAACTTCCCTGACCCTTCCCCTTTGGTAACTGCTAGTCCCTTCTTGGAGTCTTTGAGTCTGTTGCTGTTTTGTTCCTTCACTTCTGCTTTGTTGTTATACTCCACAAAAGAGGGAAATCATTTGTTACTTGTCTTTCTCCACCTGGCTTATTTCACTGAGCATAATATCCTCCAGCTCCATCCATGTTGTTGCAAATGGTAGGATTTGTTTCTTTGTTATGGCTGAATAGTATCCCATTGTGTATATGTACCACATCTTCGTTATCCATTCATCTACCGATGGACACTTAGGTTGCTTTCATATCTTGGCTATTGTAAATAGTGCTGCGGTAAACATAGGGGTGCATATGTCTTTTTGAATCTGAGAAGTTGTATTCTTTAGGTAAATTCCTAGGAGTGGAATTCCTAGGTCAAATGCTATTTCTATTTTTGGTTGTTGAGGAACCTCCATATTGCTTTCCACAATGGTTGAAATAGCTTACATTCCCATCAGCAATGCAGGAAGGTTCCCCTTTCTCCACATTCTCACCAGCATTTGTTTTCCTTAGTCTTTTCGATACTGGCCATCCTAACTGGTGTGAGGTGATATCTCATTGTGGTTTTTATTTGCATTTCCCTTATAATTAGTGATGTGGAAGATCTTTTCATGTGCCTGTTGGCCATCTGAATTTCTTCTTTGGAGAATTGTCTGTTCATATCCTCTGCCCATTTTTTAATCGGGTTATTTGCTTTTTGGGTGTTAAAGCATGTGAGTTCTTTATTTGTTTTGGATGTTAACCCCTTGTCAGATATGTCATTTACAAATATATTCTCCTAGACTGTAGGATGCCTTTTTGTTCTGTTGATAGTGTCCTTTGCTGTATAGAAGCTTTTTAGTTTGATGTAGTCCCATGTATTCATTTTTGCTTTTGTTTCCCTTGCTCGAGGAGATGCGTTCAGAAAAAAGTTGTTCATGTTTATATTCAGGAGATTTTTGCCTATGTTTTCTTCTAAGAGTTTTATGGTTTCATGACTTACATTCAGGTCTTTGATCCATTTTGAGTTTACTTTTGTGTATGGAGATAGACAATAATCCAGTTTCATTCTCCTACATGTAGCTGTGCAGTTTTGCCAACACCAGTTATTGAAGAGGCTGTCATTTCCCCATTGTATGTCCATGGCTTCTTTATTGTATATTAATTGACCATATATGGTTGGGTTTATATTTGGACTCTCTAGTCTGTTCCACTGGTCTATCGGTCTGTTCTTGTGTCAGTACCAAATAGTCTTGATTTCTGTGGCTTTGTAGTAGAGCTTGAAGTCAGGGAGCATAATCCCCCCATCGTTATTCTTCTGTCTCAGGATTGCTTTGGCTATTCGGGGTCTTTTGTGGTTCCATATGAATTTTAGAACAATATGCTCTAGTTCACTGAAGAATGCTGTTGGTATTTTGATAGGGATTGCACTGAATCTGTAGATTGCTTTAGGCAGGATGGCCATTTTGACAATATTAATTCTTCCTATCCAAGAGCACTGGATGTGTTTCCATTTATTGGTGTCTTCTTTAATTTCTCTTAGGAGTGTCTTATAGTTTTCAGGGTGTAGGTCCTTCACTTCCTTCATTAGGTTTATTCCTAGGTATTTTATTCTTTTTGATGCAACTGTGAATGAAATTGTTTTCCTGATTTGTCTTTCTGCTAGTTCATCATTACTGTATAGGAATGCAACAGATTTCTGTGTATTAGTTTTGTTAACTAATTCTGCAACTTTGCTGAATTCAGATATTAGATCTAGTAGTTTTGGAGTAGATTCTTTAGTGTTTTTTAGGTACAATATCATATCATCTGCAGAGTTAGTTTAACTTCTTCTTTACCAATCTGGATGCCTTTTATTTCTTTGTGTTGCCTGATTGCCATGGCTAGGACTTCCAGTACTATGTTGAATAAAAGTGGAGAGAGTGGGCATCCCTGTCTTGTTCCCAATCTTAAAGGAAAGGCTTTCAGCTTCTCACTGTTAAGTATGATGTTAAGTAAGTTGGCTGTGGGTTTTTCATATATGGCCTTTATTATGTTAATGTACTTGCCTTCTATACCCATTTTGTTGAGAGTTTTATCATGAGTGGATGTTGAATTTTGTTGAATGCTTTTTCAGCATCTATGGAGATGATCATGTGGTTTTTGTCCTTCTTTTTGTTGATGTGGTGTACGATGTTGATGGATTTTTGAATATTTTACCATCCTTGCATCCCTGGAATAAATTGTACTTGATCATGATGGGTGATCTTTTTGATGTATTTTTGAATTTGGTTTGCTAATATTTTGTTGAGTATTTTTGTATCTATGTTCATCAGGGATATTGGTCTTTAATTTTCTTTTTTGTGGTGTCTTTGCCTGGTTTTGGTATTAGAGTGATGCTGGTCTCATAGAATGAGTCTGAGAGTATTCCCTCCTTTTCTATTTTTTGGAAAACTTTAAGGAGAATGGGTATTAGGTCTTCACTAAATGTTTGATAAAATTCAGGGGTGAAGCCATCTGGTCCAGGGGTTTGTTCTCAGGTAGTTTTTTTATTGCAATTCAATTTTTTTGCTAGTAATTGGTCTGTTCAGATTTTCTGTTTCTTCCTTGGTTATCCTTGGAAGGTTGTATTTTTCTAGAAAGTTGTGCATTTCTTCTAGGTTATCCAGTTTGCTGGCATATAATTTTTCATAGTATTCTCTAATAATTCTTTATATTTCTGTGGTGTCTGTAGTGATTTTTCCTTTCTCATTTTTGATTCTGTTTATGTGGGTGGACTCTCTTTTTTTCTGGATAAGTCTGGCTAGGGGTTTATCTATATTGTTTATTTTCTTGAAGAACCAGCTCCTTACATTGATTCTTTCTATTGTTTTATTCTTCTCTGTTTTATTTATTTCTGCTCTAATCATTATTATGTCCCTCCTTCTACTGACTTTGGGCCTCATTTGTTCTTTTTCTAGTTTTGTTAATTGTGAGTTTTTGCTGTTCATATGGGATTGTTCTTCTTTCTTGAGGTAGGCCTGTATTGCAATATACTTCCCTCTCAGCACGGCCTTCACTGCGTCCCACAGATTTTGCAGTGTTGAATTATTGTTGTCATTTGTCTCCATATATTGCTTGATCTCTGTTTTTATTTGGTCATTGATCCATTGATTATTTAGGAGCATGTTGTTAAACCTCCATGTGCTTGTGGGCTCATTCATTTTCTTTGCATAATTTATTTCTAGTTTCATACCTTTGTGGTCTGAGAAGTTGGTTGGTACAATTTCAGTCTTTTTGAATTTACTGAGGCTCTTTTTGTGGCCTAGTATATGATATATTCTTGAAAATGTTCCATGTGCATTTGAGAAGAGTGTGTATCCTCCTGCTTTTGAGTATAGAGTTCTGTAGATGTCTGTTAGGACCATCTGTTCTAATGTGTTATTCAATGCCTCTGTTTCCTTACTTATTTTCTGTCTAGTTGATCTGTCCTTTAGAGTGAGTAGAGTGTTGAAGTCTCCTAGAATGCATGCATTGCATTCTATTTCCTCTTTTAAATCTGTTTGTATTTGTTTCACATATGTAGGTGTTCCTGTGTTGGGTGCATAGATATTTATAATGGTTATATCCTCTTGTTGGATTAACTCCTTTATCATTATGTAATATCCTTCTTTGTCTCTTGTGACTTTCTTAGTTTTAAAGTTTATTTTGTCTGATACAAGTTCTGCAACACACCTGCTTTTTTCTCCCTATTAGTTGCATGAAATAGCTTTTTCCATCCCTTCACTTATAGTCTGTGTATATCTTTGGATTTGAAGTGAGTCTCTTGTAGGCAGCATAAAGGTGGGTGTTGTTTTTTTATCCATTCAGTGACTCTATGTCTTTTGATTGATACATTCAGACCATTTACATTTAGTATGATTATCGATAAGTATATACTTATTGCCATTGCAGGCTTTAGATTCGTGGTCACCAAAGGTTCAAGGGTAACTTCCTTACTGTCTAAGAGTCTAACTTAACTCACTTAGTATGCTATTATTACAAACACAATCTAAAGGTTCTTTTTTTCCCTGTCCTTTTCTTCCTCCTCCATTCTTTATATATTATATATCATATTCTGTACTGTTTGTCTATCCCTTTTTATTACCTCTGGTGACAGCTATTTAGCCTTAGAAACACTTCCATCTATAGAAGTCCCTCTTAAATATACTGTAGAGATGGTTTGTGGGAGATAAATTCTCTTAGCTTTTGCTTATCTGGAAATTGTTTAATCCCTCCTTCAAATTTAAATGATAATCATGCTGGATAAAGTATTCTTGGTTTGAGGCCCTTCTGCTTCATTGCATTAAATATATCATGCCAATCCCTTCTGGCCTGTAAGGTTTCTGCTGAGAAATCTGATGATAGGTTGGTGGGTTTTCCTTTGTATGTGATCTTATTTCTCTCTCAGACTGCTTTTAATAGTCTTTCTTTATACTTGATTTTTGCTATTTTTATTATTATATGTCTTGGTGTTGTCCTCCTTGGGTCCCTTGTGTTGGGAGATCTGTGGATCTCCATGGCCTGAGAGACTATCTCCTTCTCCAGACTGGGGAAGTTTTCAGCAATTACTTCCTCAAAGACACTTTCTATCCCCTTTTCTCACTTCTTCTTCTGGTACCCTTATAATACAAATATTGTTCCATTTGGATTGGTCACACAGTTCTCTCAGTATTCTTTCATTCCTAGAGATCCTTTTTTCTCTCTGTACCTCAGCTTATTTGTATTCATCCTCTCTAATTTCTATTTCATTTCATTTATCATCTCCTCCACCATATCTAATCTGCTTTTAATACTCTCCATTGTGATCCTCAATGATTGGATCTCTGTCCTAAATTCGTTCCTGAGTTCTTGAATATTTTTCTGTACATCCAGGAGCATGCTTATGATTTTTATTTTGAAATCTCTTTCAAGATTTATTAGTTCAGTCTTACTCGACCCTTTTTTTGGGGTTGTTGAGATTTTGCTTTGAACTAGGTTCCTTTGACATTTCATATTTGTATGTGGTGCCCTCTAGTGCCCAGAAGCTCTACTCTCTGGAGCTGTTCAGCCCCTGGGGTGTTTTCAGGGTCGCAGGGGAGTGGTGCTGGTGCCTGGGGGAAGGAAAGAGCTTTTTCCTGCTTCCTAACTATTATGCCTGTCTCCACTGCTGGAACCAGTGGGCCAGGCACACAGGTGTAAGCCTCTATGCTTTGCTTTTGTAGCTACCATAGGCGGGGCTTCCCTCTGGCTGGCCTGACGCCAAGGCAGAGTTTGTCGGTTTGTGAGCCAGGTGCAGGCTGGCTGGGAGGAAGGCACAGCAGGCTGCGTGTCACGCTGGAGTGCCTGAGGATTGTGAAAATTCCCAACCTGCTGGACAGAGTGCACCGGACAATTCTGTTTATCTGTCCTTTCTCCTGAGCAGTAAGCTCTGTGTAATCCTTACCCCTTTAGCAGCCCTCTCACTTTTAGGAAGTCTCTCAGACTGCACACCAGATCAGCCAGATATTGATCCCTGTTTTCCACAAGCAGCTGAAAGCTCAGTCTCTCCAGGTATTCCACCTATCTTAGCTTTCCAACCCCACTAATCACCAGAGCACCATGCTTTGTAGGTTCGTGCTCCCACAGCAGATCTCTAGGGCTGGGTGTTCAGCAGTTCCAGGCCTTCACTCCCTCCCCACTCTGTTTCTCTTCCTCCTGCCAGTGAACTGGGGTGGGGGAAGGGCTTGGGTCCTGCCGGGTCATGGCTTTGTTATGTTACTCTGTTCTGTGATGTCTGTTATTTCTCCCAGGTATACGCAGTCTGGCACAGCTTTCTTTCTTGTTGCGCTTTCAGGATTGGTTGTATTAATTATATTTTCATATTATATGAGGTTTTAGGAGAAGGTCTCTGTCTCACCTCTCATGCCACCATCTTTAATCCTCTCCTCCACTCATTTAAATTTATTATCCAATTAGAGACAAAAATGATTATTCAGAGCTAAAAAGTCCTTTGTGAAGAATGTATTCTGGTCTTTAAAAAACCACAGAGCAGGGGTGTGAGCACAGGATTCCTGAATCCTTATGTAGCCAGTGTCACCCTAGTGTGCACCAAGAGCCACGCTAATCTCAGGCTGTGTTCTCTCTGGGCACTACAACCCTTGCACGGTCATACAGGTAAAGAGCCGCAGCCTGAGATATGTGCCTAGAAGTAAAGATGGCTGAGGGTGGTTTTCTTCACATAGGAGCCCTTGAGTGTATTTTTATTAAGCACTGTATGGAGGAACCATCCTCTCTACACTCTTTACCCTTCCAACCATGAGGCAATTGCAGATGTTTAGGTGCCCAAACTGTGGGTCCACCCTCCACATTTTGGTTCATCTCATTTAGAAATGCTCTCATTGTCCAACCATGGTCTCAGTTCTTAAAAAAATGACCAGCCAACCCAAAATGTCCATGAAGAAGAGACTAAGAGGGAAGAGGTATGAATCAACTAGAGACACGTGTAACCTTATAGGTAACAAAAATTAGCCAACCAATTCATTATCATGATAGTAATTATCACTGAAGATGACATGATTAAATTAAGTAGACCTCATAAGTTTTTTTGTTGTTTGCATTATTTACACTTGTGCTTATTTCTTCAAAGTAAATTTTTGGATTGAGTGACAGATACAAACATTGAACTGACTTATGCAGTGTCTATACAATGCCCAAATTAGTTCTTCAAGATATCTGAAAAAGTAAGTTATGTCTGTGAAATATCAATCAAATTGCTTGCTTGGAATTACACAAAGAAACTATTTTATGATTAAAATTTTTTAGTTTTTAAGTGCTTATGGTACATGTGATATATATATAAGATACATAAGTTACTTAATCACATACGTATCTTAATGTGATGATTTTAAAGAAATTAATTTGATAGGAACTCACTTGATCAGTTAGTTTATCCAAACATTATTTAAAAATAATGATAGCTCAGTGGAATGAATTTTTGTCATTTGTTTTTGAATCATTCAAATTCTTTGTTCAGTAAAGCAGAAATTTACCAAATTGTGTCTTCTTACCATCACCTTATATTCTGTACCACTCATTTTGTCCAAGACAGATAAATTACAACACATGACTGTTTTTCAAACAGCAGTGTGGGACAGAAGATAAAAACCATCATGCACTATACTGCATACCTGCATAACCTTGAAGACAATTGCAGATTACATCTGAGCTCCAGGGATTCTGATAACAGGAGTGGGCAAAATATTGATCGCTTGAGGGAACATCTGGACATGGGCAAGGATGGCAGGACTGTCCTGAGGAAGGATTCCCATAGTAACCATCAGTGCATCTGTCAAGGCAAAATTTTTTTGACCAAAATGTCTCCAGGAAAAGCTCATATTAACCACTGTGGATGTGTTATGTTTCAGGTTGGTACAACTCCCCAAACCCAATGCTTCAGCAGATGCTCATTTGCTCTGAAAAAGGAGTTTTTGCTTTATATTGAAAGTTCCAAGGTATAGTAATTAAAGCTAATAGAACACCATTTAATTTACATGCCATATCTTAGGAACATAAAAAGCAAGTTGCCAGGTAAATGCCTGTTATTGGCTTAATCACTGTCTGGCTCATAACAAGATTTTGAAGGAAAATGGGAATGATACTATATCTTCCCCTCCCATAGCAATCATTCTACACTTAAATATTGTTGAGTTTCCACTCAATGGTCCTCTAGAGTGTTGTGAGATCAGAACAAAAGCAAGAAATTAAAAAGAAAAGCACATATGAATTTCCTACCTTTCACAGTTTCTTCCAGTTGTAAAGCCCCTGCAATTGAAGCACGACCCTGTCTCTGGATCACAAAGTTCAGCAAACCCATTACAAAGGCAAGGGCGGCAATTGGGAAATCCAAAATAGCCTGTCAGGCACCGATCACAACTGCGGCCAGCCACCTCTTCCTGGCAGGGGCACTCTCCTGTTATTTGGTCACACACGGTGTTCTTTGAGCCTTGAGGGTGGCAGTGGCATGCTAGATAAAGCAAAGAGAACATTGGGTGGAGGGCAAGTGATGAGCTCCGGAAGAGTCCCAGCTCTGATTTTACAGTCCCTAACTTGTTGTATCATCCCAATCAGAGGAAGAAAGTAAGTGTGCCAAGTGCTAGAACAGAACCTGGCAGGTACTGAGAACCAGGTAAATGTTTGTTAAACAACAACTCACTGACTCATTCAATAATGCAGTATGCTGTGGATGTTACAAATATTGCTTTTACAGAAGAAATGAACAAGTAACATGTTTTTAGTGTCTTGAACTTTCATTTGTCTTTAAGATTATTAAAAATGTTAAGAATTCTTCTCAAGATGGTTGGATTTTTCTTTTCCCTAGATGAGATAATAGCTCAATCTTTTCTGGTAAATTGCTGGATCTTTTGAGACAATCTTCTCTATACAAAAACATGATGACTGTTTCACATGGCAGCACATGGAAAAACTGCTTCTTTGTGTATCTCAAACACTTCATAATTTTTTTAATGAGAAGGGGAAAAAATGCAAGAATGGACCTAAGCACTGTGTTTTTGCGTAGGCAATGGCCAGGAGGTGCCATCTCTCTGAAACACGACTGCAAAGATATGCTCCCTTACCTGGAAGGAGAATCGACCTACCTAGAGGTTTTCAAGGTCCCTAAAGCAGATTTCTGTGGGGAACAGTATTCTCCCTAATGCTTTCCCCTGTGAACAGAGAACTGTATACTCAAACATGACAGCCATAAGAACTGAATTACCAACTGTGGATGAAGTCCCATCTAAGCCCTTATTAATGGGAGGCCTAAAAAATGAGTTCCAAGGCTATTTGTGACCCCAGCATCAAAAAGGGTACTATCCTGGTGGCAGTGTTTCCCTTCTTGACTTTCCAATCCCACATCATCTTAGCCCTGCCAGCCACAGGGCTTATGTGTCAAATCATAAAGTTGGGTTTGCACAGCCAGTTCCCTTCATGGTGTTCCCACATCCCACTGGGACTACCACCTGTTTGATGGACTGCAAACCCCAGAAGCATGGACCATGCTTTTTATCATCACTCGTGGTCCCTAATAGAGCTCTGTACACAGTCAGTGACCAGTGAATGGATGAAGTATGGTGGAAAAAGATTTAGTACATTTTATCTACATAAATAGACAATCTGAACAATGTAGCCCAATTCCCAGTCACCTCCCCTTTTAAGCTCCACACACTGATTTTTCTGCCTTGACAATTCCAAGGCTATGAACAAGTATGCTTCCCCATCTGTTTTTTGCTACCTACAGTGACAGCCATGATGCCCCAAACCGTAGCTTCCTGGTGAGCACTTGTCACAGCAGCGCCCGGCCACACCAGGCTTGCACAGGCACTGGCCTCCGAGCCGGCTGCAGCTGGGCCCCACTGAGCCCTGGGGGTGACACTTGCAGGCTGCAGGGAACAAAAGAGGGAAGTCAGAGGTGAAGGAAGAGACAGGAAGTACCTTGACCTGCTAGTAGCTTTAGTTCATCTCTTTAATTTGGTGCTTCTCTAAACCTTAATTTCCTCATCTGTTAAATGGGAATAATAATAATATAGGATCTGCCTTCTGGGATTATAGAGATTAAAGATAATAATGCCTATGAAGCACTTAGAACAGTGTTTGGCATGTATTAAGTGCTCAATAAACATAATAAATGTTACTTAACATGTTAATAGAAGGCTTAAAACAGTTTTCATACTTAATAGTTCCAATGTAATTATTATTATATTATTATTTTGATTACTGATGATCTATGTTGGTGCTGGACTATAGCTTTGATTTCCCATATTCCATATCTTTCATGAGACTGGGTGGGGGTGTCTGTGAGACTCTTCTGAAGGAACAGTCCTGAATATTAATGGAAAAGCATTTGCCTGGAATGTAGGAAGCCTGGGATCTGATTGTAGCTGTTCCTCTATAGCAGTAGTTGTCAGTGGGAGGGAGATTTCCCCCTGCCCAAGGGACATATGACAAAGTTTCGAGACATTTTTGGAAGTCACAATGGGGGGAGGGTGTTACTGGTGTCGGGGGGTAGAGGGTAGGGACACTGCCAAATATCCTGTAAAGTACAGGATGGCCACTTCCCCACTCCCCAACAACAAATTACCCAGCCCCCAATTTCCAAAATGCCAAGGATGAGAAACCTTCTACAGCTTAGTGAAATGGGCAAGTTACCTAATGTTTTTGTAACCTAACAGTCTCATTTATTAAATTAAGGTTTGGAGATGAATGAAAGAAGTTATTTAGAGTTCGTTCTAGTTCCAAATGCCAGGATCCAAATAAATATTTTAGGACCAGTGTTTCAGCAATCCAGCATCCCAATGCTACTGCAAGGCTCCTCTTTTTATACACTTACTGTACTGACTTAATGATTCCAACATGTCAAAAACTGCTCTGTATCTAATCATTGGGCAACTCGTATTTACACTGGTTGTTTGGAGTAGATGCTGAAATTAATTTAAATTGATTTACTCATGTTCCAAAAGCATTTGTACAGGTAGCAGAGCTTTTGATTGAACACATTAAATGCATACTTACCCACTGCCCCATTGTGCAGCTTGGCAGACATGCTGACTATAAGCCTTTCACATGCACCAGGAAGCACCCGAGGCCCCGTGTCCGAGGCAATTTCAACACAGTTGTGCAGCTGATACTCATCCAAATCCTCCTTGCTACAGAAATTCTCCATAGAATTGATTTGGGGAATAAGACCAAGCTGTTGAAATAATGAGAACAGACTTATGTTCATAATTGTCTCCTGTTCAAGATTCTAGTTATAAAAAATAAAATCAGATCTATGAGAATAATGTTTGAAAGAGACTCAATTTATCATATGAATTGCTTACAACCAAAGACTTTAAGATTCTCAGTTTATTTAAGAAATCTTTAAATAATTGCATTTGTTGACTTATAGCAAGGAAAGTAAAATAAGCCATTTTCTTCTTGCTAGCCTTATTAGTACATTTTTATCTGGCTAATAAATTTCTTAGATTTGAAAGACTTAAATAAGCTGTTTGTGATAAATTATGGCTAAGACAGCACAGTCCGTAGTGGTACTGTGGAACTCTAATTCTATAAAACTCTCCTTTTAAAAGTTTTGTCCTTATCAATCACTTATGAACAGTTATAGTTTATGTCAAACTATGTGCCTCTTGGAAATTAACAGTATAGATTAACATATTTGAGCCCTGAGAAGTGCTGCAAGAAACACATTTAAAACTCAGTGTTTCTACACTTATACTATCACATGGTCCCATATTCAAACACTACTTAGTAACATCCCATAAATTCACTATTTCACAGATGCATTTTGGGAATTGCTGGCTTAGACCATACAGCGATCATGGGGACAAATTCATTATGACAAGCTTATTGTCACAGAGGAATCCTCTATAGTTTTATGTCTATGTAAACAAAGCTGAACAGTTGTATTTCTTGAGATTTTATCTCAGTTATAACCTAATACTATTGAAAATGTTTATTAATGGCTTGCATGATACAGCAGAGAACATGTCGGTTCATCTGACTGATCATACCCAGTTGGTCATTCTGAACAGCTGGTGGAAAAAGCAGCATTGAAAATAAGTTTTAATTCAGCAGGTCAGACTAGGAGAGAGAGCCCACTGGCACAGATACATCTTCCCTGGCCTTCTTGCTGTGTCCAAGCTGAAACTAGTTCCCAGGGGCCTTTACTTCAACCCTGACTTCAGTCCTTCTCTACCTGTCCTATGACAGGGCAGCTGCAGGAATCTCAGCCCTAGACACTATTTCAAAGTGTTGTCTCTGTTCCTCCAAACTCCAAGCTCGTCCTCCCTGCCCTCTTGGTGTGTGCCATTGCCTCATGCTCCTTCTAGTCCACAGAGAAAGTAGACCCCAGCAAAGGGACCAGAGCCCCCTCCCCTCCTCCCAAACTGTCTCACAGGTCCTTCCACCTGTCCTCCACTTTGAGGGCTTACGAAGGAGAAGCATCGGTGGAAGAGGCACCCACCGCTATCCCCTTGGCCCTCAGGAAACTTTCCTGTGGATTATGCTGGCTTCCTTTAATCTCTTCAACTGCTATTTAAATGTGCTTAAATCGCTCCCATCTGTAAAAATCACTTTCTTGATCTCATATGTTTCTCTTGCTGCTGCCCCGTCTTTGCCCCCAACTTCTTGACAGCCAAATTTATTGAAAAATTGTTTCCTTGCCACCTTTACTGTGTCCCCTCCCTTTACTCTTCATGCCAATGGGACACCTCTCCTCCCACCCATCCCTAAGTGTCGGGTTCTGCAGGGCTCTCTGCTTACTCCACACTCTCTTCCTAAGTGACCTGGAAAGTGCTGTGTCTTCGGTTACCATCCACAGATGGCTGACATCTGAGCTTACATTTCCAGCCTACATTGCCATCGTGCACTCCATCCGGCACAGATCTGCCCTGACCAGCCTACTGGCTGTCCCACAGGCACTGCAAGCCAAGCACACCTGAGACCTGCTGTCATTTCTGGGCCTGTTGTCTAGAAATAAGGCCACCATCTGCCAAGCTGCTCAGCGTAGGAAGCAAGATCATCTTTGCTACTTGCTTCTTCGTCATCAATACTCCCTGTCCCTCCACGTGCCCCGCACATCAAGTTAATCACAGGCCCGGGCAAACTGGGCAATCTTCCCTTGTCAGTGTGTCTAGGATGTGTCTTTCCTTTTATTTCTCTTTTGTATTTGCACATTAAATCAATATCATTTGTAGTGCCTAGGAGATGCCCTTCAGGCTAGGAACCACTGCTTGAGCTGCACTGAACTTCTCACTCTAGCGACCAGTCACAGCTCCCAGCACCTCTCACACCGTGCTGTCATTTCCTGCCGAGTGGCCTGCATCTCCCCTTTGGAGGGTAGCCTGGGTATGTCAGGGATGATGCTTGTCTTCCTTGCTAGGAAGGAATGTAGGAAGGTGCCTAACACAGTGTTTTTACAGTAAGTGCTTCATAAAAACCTATTCAATAAAGAAGTGTGTATGCACATATACACACACACGTCTAGTATTGCATCTTTCAGTTGATACTAAAATGATTCTGCTTCCTCCAAACACAAGCCAAGTGGGGAAAGAGGTGAAGGAAGCCAGATGGACTGGCGTTGGGAATGAGGAAAGCCAACCAAGGATTAATTATTCACAGTTATTGGTCTGAGCTGGTTTAGAGGTGGCCATTCCTGGTACCAAGGACATGGACAACATGGACCAGATGACAAGAGTCCCTGTCAGCTTTAGGATTTTATAATGTCATGACCCACTTCTAGAAACTTCTAATGACTTTATGTTTACCCAGTGTAGTCCACACCATGGTTTAACAGAAGAATGGCAGTTTTCTCTTTTAGAATGCCTGGTATAATTTTGACTCTAAACATGTTTTTATGGAATCACATATCATGTAACCAGGGTGACTGAAAATAATTTTTAACTGCCTTATTATGCTTGCCAAACAAAAGGCATTTGTGCAGAAGGAGCGTCAGGGTTGAACAAAGCTTTCATCTGGTCTTCTTGGCAACTCATTCCAGTCTTAGGTGCAAATGTTAATCTAGCTGCAGAGAAGAACTTTGAAAGGGCCAAGTCCCATGCAGTCAAGTATCTTCCCAGAGCAGCAAAATGGGTGCTGTGGAAGTAACTAGTCTATAGTCCATAATCACAAACTGTAAAACAGCTTTCTCCTACTGGACATCCTGGGACAGGGACTACAGGGGGCTCTGTCAGTGCCCTGCCCGATCTTCCCGTCACACCAGCTGCTGTGACATTGGCTGCTAAAGGCTCATAGCTGTCTCTTCTCCAGAAAATTGGAGTCAGCCATCCTGTCCAGGAGTCAGTGCACTCACTGGGGGATGGTAGGGGGGGAGCGGTGAGCCTACAGCCTGACTTGGGCACACATGGTCCACCACTTTCCTCCAGGTGGAACCAAGCCTGTGGTGCAGTTCATGCTCCAGAACCCCCTGTGGGATCAGGCTGAGGCCACACCTCCGTGGAGAGCGCATCTTGCTCAGTTCCTTCCCCTGCCCTCTCCTGTTCCCTGGCTCTTCTCTTGTGAGCACACCCTCAATAAATCAGGTGCACCTGGGTCCTGCCCCAGCTTCTGCTTCTAGGGCATCTGACCTAAAACAGGGATCTAGGGCCTCTTCTGAGGTTTCTGACATTTTGCCAAGATTAGGGTACTCTCCTAATTTTTATTCAGGTTTCAGGGTTTTCATAGCTATATAATAAAGAATAATTGCTTGAAAGATGATCAAATAGATATACTTTTAATTTCAAATTATTCACTTACATTATTGCATCTATCAAACATCACAATGATTTTGTTTACATGCCTGTCTTCTGTATCAGGCTGAGAATCCTTTGAGGGCAAGAACTATGTTTTATACCCCAGGAACCAGCACAGTGCCTGACTGATACACATCCAGTGAATGGGAGATGAATGGATACTTTGAATGGATGAGTTCATACAGCATCAAGTGTTAATCTTTGGAATTCATTTGCAAGGTTTACAAATATTTAGGCTATGGATTTAAAATGAGGAGTACCTTGATTATTTCCAGTATTCATGACTATTGTTTCATGACTATTACCAGTATTATGATTACATCCCTTAGTGACTTAGGACTTCTTTATTTTCTTCTCCCTTTGTTCACTCTGCCTGGGTTCCCAACTTTTAGATTTTTTCCCCCTGAATTAAACCTGTTGGATTTAATTTTCTTTCTTTGTAACTTGTATGTTGGTTCATGAGCACAGTTCTATTTAAAGCTCTTCAGCAGAGAAAATGAATTATATGGATAGGGAAATCACGATAGCTTAAATTTCCTGTTCAAGAGTTTGTTTCTACTTTCTACTTCACCACAACATTACATGGCCCCCAGGGTGCAGGATTTAGACCATCTTTGGTTAAGGTTGCCAAATAAAATGGAAGTCACCCAGTTAAAACTGCATTCAGAGAAACAATGAATAAATTTTTAGTATGTCTCATGCAATATTTGGGACATATTTATATGGTATTCAAATTTAATTGGGTGCTCTGTTTATTCCCTCCCTCCCTCCTACCCTTCCTCCCTTCCTTCTTTTTTCTGTTTTTGCTAAATCTTGCAACCCTACCTTTGGTAAAATAATTTTAGAACAATGGCTTTTTTGTTATAATAGGTGAGCTTGTTGAATAATATCCAAGATATATCTGTTATCTCATACTGAATTCTACAGTAGATGATGAAATACAAAGTTCCAGGGCAAATAAAATGTACAATGACTAGAAATTGAACTTAAAAGACAAAATTCACAAAACATGGATAATATACAGCTAATTAAATAAGGGGTCAACAAATTTCCTATAAAAGGCTTTCTCTGTTGCAAACACCGAAGTCTGCCTTTGTATCAGGAAAGCAGCCATAGATAATGTGTAAACAAGTGGGCATGGCTGTGTTCCAGTAAAGCTTTGTAGGGCTGTAGCTTGCCAGTTAAATCGTATCAGGAGATTCTCACAAATATTTAAAATGCAAATTTAAAAAAATTTGCCTTTTATTCCAAAACCTCACACAATTCTATACAAGTCTACTGAAGGTGGAATGAAACTAGTACTTTAATAGACTACTGATCCTGACAATTAATCGGAGAATACCTTCCAGAAATTAATTGGACAAGTTATTTCAAGAGCTGTAAAACCTAGGGTAGAGTAGGATTATATTTAAAAACACTTAAAAGTATGTGCCAACTATATATAGTAGTGAAAAACAGAAGCGACTTAAATGACCAGGAGTAGAAGAATAGGTAAGTAAATTAAGAAAATTTACTCGATGCCCAAACTTGGCGCAGTGCAAGCCTGGGTCCAGAGTGCACAGTTTGGAAGGGAAGCCTGTGGCCCGACTCCGTAGTGGAGAGATGCTGGAAGAAATCACTCAAGGAAATATTAGGTATAATAAGCTGCCACAGGCATCATAAGAAAATGCTTATGATATAATGTGAAGTGAAAAAAATCTGTATACAGACTTGTATGAGCACTCTGAGCACAAAGGTATAAAAACACAACATATATAAAAGGGGAACTTACAAGATGATAACAGTTAAGTGGAGTTTCTCCCCAAGCCTTCTGTAATGCCAGAACACTGCAGTGGCCCCGAGCTGGGACCGTGAGTCAGGCGGTCTGACCCCGGTTCCTGACTCCTTGCTCACTAGATCTGTGACCCTGGGCCTCAGTTCTGTTATCTGTAAAGTGGGAATAATGATAGTACCTCCCTCATAGAGCTGTTGTGAACACTGAATAATAAAATATGTAAAACACTTCAAACTGTTACTGGCACATACTATTCTGTAAGATTTGCAGTTGTTATTAGGTGGCTTTCATAGAAAATAGGTGATCTCTGTAAATCATGAATGAGTTATAGTGAATAAAACAATACATTTTAATTTTGTATTGTATGAAACACATTTGTTTCTGTATATGAAACAAAAACATTTATTCATGAAATATATTTGAACGAATATATTTATACTCCTCAAGACACATTTCACAAGAGAGTCCAAAAGCAGAATTACCATGGAGCTCAGCTGAGAAGGAAGCAGCCCCCCACAAAGCCCTGTGGTACTCACAGAATCGACCAGGATGTGTGAATGAGTGAGGGGCTGTCCTTCCGAAGGCTGGGAAAAATAGACATCTATGGAATATTGTACATCTGGTTCTAAACAGATGGGTGTGGGAAGCAGCATGATTCTGTATTAATAAAGCAAAAATTCAGTGACAAAAGTAAAGTTACATAACCTCAGCAGCTATAGTATTTGGTAGCGTTCCTCCTGTACTGTGTAGAAGTGGGTCCTACTGGGGTGCAGAGCCAGGTCTAGGTGAGTTTGGGGGGACAGTAAGTTCACCCACATTCTTTGGGGCCCTTCCATGGGATTGTGGCAACAGCAAAGCCTTAGAAACTATTGTCCGCGGGTTGTCATAGCTGCTTGGAGAAAAGGATGGAACCAATTTCCTTAACCTATCTGTCATGCTAAGGATTAGCAAGGTCTGTTTTATTTGCCACAAGTCTCTGATACAAAATTAGTGGCCTCAAAATTAGGAAATTTTTTACCTTATAGACTGTCAGCTGTTGAGATAACTCGAACGGAGTATTTTACTCTTATCCTTGTAACATTTCACATATAAGGCCATCTGGGGAACGGGGAAGGGACGGTCAAGTTTGAGAGTAGGATATTTAGGCTGGAATCCTGGTTCTGCTGCACATTAGCTATGAGACTTGGGCAAGTCATCTAAGTATTGTTCTTGATTTCCCTGTCTGATGCAGACAAAATCACCTCATTGAGTTGCTGGGAAGATGAAGTGTGGTATTAAATGCAAAGGATCACGCAGCACACAGGGAACAGTAAATGTTAAGAGTCTCCTTTTTATAACTTTTCTTCCACTTAGCTTCTGAATACCAATTATTAGTAGATGAATGAAATTCTAAAAGAAAGTGTCAGTGTTTGAGGACAGGTCCCCAGCATACCTGGAAGCTGCTGGTAAAGCAGAAGACTGAGGCCTTGGCTGTCGGGTCTTGTGTGTACAGTGCTTGCTCCCTCCAGGCAGATTAATCATGATCTGGGCAGACCAGTCAGCTGTTGACTAGAGGCATGACATAAAAGCATGTCACTGTGAGGATGTGTGCACAAGCATATACCCAGCTTATAGTGCGTGGAATCCAATTTGCAACCCATTGCCCACTCACAAAATACAAGTTTGGAGTTGGAAGTAGTTGCAGAGGTTCACTCCCGGGCCCAACTTTCTGGTGTCTGAACTGTGATCCAGGTAGAAAGAACATTGTTTCTGGCCATAACTTTAGTTCATGGGCCTGGAAAAACCCTGGCATTCCCAACAGGTCTAATCTTTAACCTCTGTTTTCTCAAAGGGTCAATTAGTTCATCATGTCCCTGGCTCACAGGACAAAAATTAAAATTTGGAATCCTTCACGGAAGGATATATGCTTTTTTCTTTTTATTACATAAAAGTTATTATATAAATATATTAGTATATAAATAATAATTATATTACTAAATATATTTATATGTATATAAACATAGAGATGTTTATAGTATATGCTAAGTAACTATAGTCTGGAAGCTTCACAATTTGGGAAAGGCTTTTTAAAGCTGTCAGAGAAGTGTCTTCTCTGTGGAAAAATTTATATATATGTATATTTAATGACTTTGCTGTCATACTCACCAGGTCAAAGTTCATTGAAGTCCCATGGCTTTTATTCGTAAGTGAGAAATAGAGGATTATGCCAGAACAATAGTTTTAAAGTGGATTAGCAGCTCTGGTGATACAACCCACAGTGAGTGCTTACAGAACGTGGTCCCTAGAAGACTTCTGGGGGCTCTGAGACCACCCCCCAAGTCATATAAAATATTTTTCATAGGGTTTCAGGTTACCAAAGAAAAGGTGATGAACTACTGTTCTAGATCAAGTATTTTTCTAATTTGGTTTCTCTTGTCTCAGATATTTCTCAAAAGTTGGGAAGAAGGGACAGTCAGACTGGAGGAAGTGAGAGGAGCAAGCTTATATTAAGTTTTCTCTTGTTTAAGGGTCAAACCCACATGCAAATAAATGCCTTTCTGCATCCTTTGAGTCTGAATCTCTGTGCATACATTAGTTTACTAAATTTTTAGAAAAAAATCTCAGGAGGGCAGGATTTGGGTTATTTTAGTTATTTATTGTTCTTATACAAACATTCCATCACCACTTCCTTAGACCTAGTACCTTAAATATATAACTCCAACTCTAGCTTCTCTCCATGGAATAAGCCATGTGTGCATATGGCTCACTGTGTTTCTTCAATCAGGAAACCCTTTGATTTATAATGCTCTCCAGATGTTTTAACTTCTTGCAAATCATTTTATGATGAGCCTATCTGGCAAGACTGGAATGGAAACACTGAGTTCAAGAGTATATTTTATTCAGTTTTTTAACACTGGAAAAGCTGGAATTAAAGGGTACCTGAATTTCATAGCGAATGGCAATGGAGAAGTCCATGGGAAAGGGAATGTTGTTGACAGCAAATCTCAAGCCAGTCCCAGGAGGAACCTTAGCAAATCCAGGTCCAGTCCACGTAATAGGGGTCCCAGGAAGCAGCTCTGGGAAAACAATATGAACAGCAGGCGCCTGGCCAAAAGTCACCGAGCCCTAAAATTGGAGAGGAATGTGTATTAGATTTGCCTAGAGTCAAGGCTTGGAAGAGTTCAGAAAACCCCCCACATTTCCTGATGTGTATATGACATATCCAAATCACAGATAAATTATTCCAACCAGGATACAGTCCAGAATAGAGCTGAGAATAATGTACTGAATCTGCAGCTTTAGAACATATGTTACTGTACAGAATGACTGAGTACAAAACAGTGTCACTGGAAACCACTTTAATTTTAAGTACCCATGTGCTAATGAACACAGCAAATTCCACATTGATGACCTTGGATTTTCTCAGATATGACTGTAGGATTCTGGCCAAAATATGGAGTGAAAGAAATTATCCCCATGCTTTCTTCTTGGATTTTGCCTAATTGTGAATGACAATTAGAAAATCCACATGGATTCATTTTTTAGATATTTCTTCCATGTGAACATGAAAAATGCTCTTCTACCTGCTTGGGGGCATTAAAGGACAAAAATCCTGACACATTTTATTGGTTAGCATCTCTGATGGTGTCTTACAGGATGTCAGGCTGGGGCCATCTAGACCCGAGATAACACTTCTTTAATGACTTCCGGCATTAGCCTCTTCACCCGCACAGACTCCGGGAATCCTGTGTCTTGTTAACATTTTGCCTGTGTTGCTGCAAGAGGCTCTTGGTTGTCCTCTCCATTCTCTCCCCAGTCCAATACATGCTACACCCTGCTGCCAATAAGCATTTCACTCTTTCCAACTGCCAACACAATCACGCCCAAATTACTTAGCCTGGAGTTCAACCTGTGATCTACCCCAAACTGCTATTCATTTGATAAATGTTTATTTACTTAGTAACAATTCTAAACCAGCCTTTGAGTCAGGACTAGGATGAATAGGACAGAGTCCCTGCCACAGAGGAGTTTAGACAAAATGTAAATAAGAAACTATACTGCCAGATTAGGTTTCAATAGACAGAGGATATGTAAACCCACTTATCTGAACATTTTTCAAACATTTAAGAAATACTCTCACAATTGCCGTAGACACTGCAGGTGGTCCTCTGGAATCCCCTCGACCTGGCTGGTGCGCTCATCGCCCAGTTGCTGTGTGTGTGGTTTCTAACAGCTTCTAACAGCTCACCCTCCCCTGCTTCCCCCTTGCCCAGCTCTCAGCCCTGGGTAACTGCTGAGCTCCTGTGTGGATCAAGCCAAGGTCGGCTCTCCTGAGGGCACATCTTACTCTTTTCTCTATCTCATGTCCCTTACTCTTTTAGAGTTTTCTTGAATAACACTTCCTTAATAAACCACATGCACCTGAATCCAGTCTTAGGCTCTGTTTCTAGGGCTGCTGACCTGAACAGTTTGTACCAGATCATTTACGTATTTTTAGGTGCAGTTCTGGAAGAGAGTCATTTTCTGTTCAGCTGGCAGTGAGGACCCCGGTGTAACATGTATTGATATCTCAGGCAGGCAGCAGTAGAGTAACTGCTAAAACTGTTATCTGTGGAGAACTGGGACAGGATAAAGGGGAATGGGAGGCACTGACTTCAGCAATCATTTTGGCCTTGAGAGAAGTGGGGGAAATCATAGGTGTAAGGACTGTGGAAGTAGGTGGCAGTTGTTGAATGCCACTGATGCTTTGAGGAGGGAAGATGACAGATTCAGGGCAATCAATCACCAATTTAAAGCAAAGTGTGAAGATCAGAGGGCCTCCTTGGAGACATTACAGAGATTCTCATCTCTTTAAGCTAGAGGGCAGGAAGAGCTGATGACCAGGAACAAGACTTAAATGTAAGAGTTGCAGAAATTCCAAGAAGGCTGACTTCTTGGCCAAGGTAAGCCAACATGCCAAGATCAGGTCCTCCACAGGGAAGCAGCGGGATCTTTACACAAGGCTGATGCACACCAGAAACCTGGACCTCGAGCTTCTCCTGAGTGCTCTTGGACTGTAGATGTAATCCACCACCCTTATGGAAAATAGAACCCCTCTACTCTAGCCCTGCCACATTTGAAGACAATGAAGATACCTCAAATGATGCAGACCTTCCTCAGGGTCTGTCCATACTACCCTCCCAGCCACTTGCCTGGTATTTAGGGTCAAATTTCAGCATGATCTGACTGGGAAGGTTCTGGATCTCTGAGAGGGACCCAGTTAACATGTACCAGTGGCAACTGGGAGAGAATGGCTGGGTATGGATCCTGAGGGTGCCAGACCAAAGGGACAGAATATGAAACTGGAGAAGGAGGGTTTGGTCATTGGGGGTCACTGGTGATATAGGATTTAATAGCCTGGCAAGGCCCAGGAGCCCCAAGAGATGGATCTAACATGTTGCTGGAGTAGCTGTTGGAAGCCTGGCAAAGCCATGTGCCGAGTAAACGAAGTAGAGGTGCCAGAACTGTAGTAGCAGGCTGTGTGGGCAGGGAGGCAAGGCTCAAGGTAGGCATGCAAGAATGTCTAAGATGCAAGACCAAGAAACCCACCAACAGACTAGATTCCCTGAGGCCCAGAGGACCCTCCATTTATCAAGAGAGTAAGGAATGAACTGGTGAGGGGAGCTCCAGCATCACTGAGAAGCTGATACTGGGTGTCTTCTCTAGGCTGGTAGGATAAACCATTACAAAACAGCTCCTTAGTGTCAGTGTGGAGGACAGGATCCCAGACTGTTAAGACACTTAGTTCTCAGAAGCAACATGTAGTTGCTGAGCACTTAGTTCTCAGAAGCAAGATGGATGTAATTATAATGGGCAACAAGGTTGAAAGAAGAGGTCAGGGGGTTTGACCCACAGGAATCTTCTGTGGAGATGATTAACAAAAAATGGTGTTCATAGGAGCAAGACAGACAGTCAACAAAAGTACTGTGTAATGTCCATAATCATCAAAAGTGATCAAGTATGATTCAGCAGAAAGTTGAGGTTGGCTGTCTAATGGAAAGATTTGCCAAGTTTCTAGATCTCAGTCACTTCTCAGACCCAGAACCAGTGACTGAATAAAAGGCCATGTCCCCATGAAGGAAAACTCTTCAACACCATAACAAGTGTGATTCTCTTACCTATTTCCCAAAGATACCTAATGGTTTTCCTATAAGTCTTTTGGGAAAGGGGAAATACCTAGACCTTTCATGGGCTAGGGGATACAGGATCTGAGTTGATGCTGGTAACTAGGTACCCAATGTTCCGTCACGGTCCCCCTCTTAGAACAGGGGCATATGAGGATCAGGCAATAAAATGGAGTCCTGGCCCAGGTCCTTCTCACAGTGGTTTCACTGAGTTTACTGAACCACTCACTGATTGTTTCCTCCAGCTCCTGAATATGCACTTGAAATGGATCTGCTTGGCAAGGGGCATTGATTCTTTGACCTGTAAGTTAAGAGTGCTTATCCTAAGAAATGTCAAGTGAAAGCTTATCATAACTGGAAGGGCTGATGCTATATAATGGGGACATGAAGAATGTGTATGGCACTGAGGTGATCCACTGAGGCAACTTTGGAGCTTCCACACATGTGACCTGCTAAAGGCATGGAAACCAGGAGCTCAGACCCTGGTGGCATGAGGATCTAGGTCATCCCACCCAGAAGAAGCTGAGGGTGAGGGGAAAGTAGAATGGGTGGCTGGGAATGAGGAAGATGGTGAGTATCAGTTACAGCCCTGGGACCAACTGCAGCAGCTGGAAGCTTCAGTTTGTTCCCGCTAATCTCCTTTTGCAGTTTTCCAAGAATTGTGACCAATGAGAATCCTGGAGAAACTGCCTGCATGGAGTCAACTTCATGTAAGAAGCAAATGGGCAGGGCATGAAACCTATGTAAGTGTACAGGTTCCTATGCTCAGAAGGGCTAGATGCTTTGGCTTAATGTTCTGCAGCCACCATCTTGAAATAATTAATTTTATCTTCAAATTATTTTGTAAGTGAAGTCTCTTGGGACAACGGAGCATGCACATGAGCACAAGAGATATGCACAATCTGTGTCTGGTTCCTTGCTGCCCCGTTCACATACCGTGCACATGATGCCCATGAGCACAAGCTTCAGGTGGATGTCCTACGCGTGGGTGTCCAGTGAGACTCAAAGTGAGTACACAGTAGTGTGTCACACCCATGAGTGAGTAAGCAGGGGTGCAGACTGCTCCAAGAGACCAAGCTTTCTGTTCCAACCAGAACTTGCTTTGAAAGCACAAAGAAGTTAAAGGCACTCTAAGAAATATACTATTCAGGTTACTTCCCTGTTTTAGCCAACTACTTACACTGAAAATGATGACTACAAGGAAAGAGGAAGATAGGGCGACCCATAGTTTCTCATTAGCAAGCCAAAGGTAGAGAGTATGGGTAGGCCACATATCATAGAAGTGAATAAAAAAAGTTGAGTTAGTTTTGTACAGCATTCCCATTGCTCCAGGAAGAATGAAATACAAATGCATATATGACTATATGACTATGAAATAAAAATCATGTAGTTTCAGTGATTACAGGTAAGAATAAATGCTCTTACACTTGCAGTTAAAATTTGCATTGCACAAGTACCAAATAATTTCACTCATATGTGGAGTATAAGAACAAAGAAAAAAACTGAAGGAACAAAACAGCAGCAGAATCACAGAACCCAAGAGTGGACTAACAGTTACCAAAGGGAAAGGGACTGGGGAGGATGGGTGGGAAGGGAGGGATGGGGGGCGGGAAAGAAATAGGGTATTACGATTAGCATGTATAGTTTTGGGGGAGGCACGGGGAGGGCTGTGCAACACAGAGAAGACAAGTAGAGACTCTACAGCATCTTACTATGCTGATGGACAGTGACTATAATGGGGTTTCTTGGGGGACTTGGTGAAGAGGGGAGCCTAGTATACATAATGTTCCTCATGTAACTGTAGATTAATGATACCAAAAGAAAAAAGAAAAATTTGCATTGCATGATATGAAAATAAGTAGTATAATTCATATTAATAATTTAAATTTGCAGTATTTCTTTACTTAGAATGACATTAAAGAATAAAAACATTTGACAAGTCAAGAGTACAGAAGAAAGTAAAAAGCTTTGCATTTTACCTTTGATGGCCCTTTCCCCCAAGGGGCCCTACATGTGGGCCTGGGTATGCGTGGAGTGGACTTGAGTCCATGCCATTAGTATACTGCCAGCTCCCTTTACTGGGCTGCTCTCTCCAGCCACTAGCTCCTGTGACTGTTGGTTGCTATTGCTCACCACTGCTCCCTTCTCTGGAGAACTGCCCTTGGCAAAGGGAGCTACCTCGCCTGGGAGGTTACCTGCATCTGCTGCGCTACCCACAGCCATGACTGACTGATAGGGGAACCGGACAGGGTAGCCCTCAGGCCCTGCTCTTCTCTTTCGGGTGGCCATCAGACTGAAAAGCCTAGAGAGTGAGGGAAGGCTTCATGGCCATGAGGCATGGGGACACAAATAAGGAGGAGGAAGAGCAAAACTGCTATGACTGGTGTGCCTGGGCCTGGAAGGAGCATGACCCGTGAGGCTGTGTCTGACCCTCTCAGCTGGAGGCAGTTCCCCTTAATCTGAAGTCCATGTCACCTGCTGTGCACTCCTGTCATGACAACCCCTACCCTGTCATGCATTAGTTGTTTGTGTACATGGTTCATTTCCCCAACAACAATCTTAAGGGCAGGCTCCAATCCTAAATGCTTGTGCTGTCATTCATTCAACAATTTGTTCGGTCAAGAAGAACTCCTATATGTGAGGAACTGTTTAGGTGTCAGGTTTGTGAACAGGACAGATGATGTTGCTTTCTTTCATTTGCTTTTCTAACATGCACATTCATGCATCTGCACACAGGGATGCTCAACAGAGATCTCAGTAGAGATGAATGATGAATGAACAAGTGGGCCCAAGGCAGCTCCAGTTCTGAGAGAGGAATAGTTAGATGGCTATAAGGTCCTCAAATCTCCTCCAGGCTCCTGAAGCCACTGGAGGCAGGGCCTTAGGAGGTGGCCTCCCTGGCACTCACACCAGCTCTCACCAACCACAGCCATCTTGGATCGCACACACGCACCTTCTCCAGACTAGCCATGAACCATCCCAGGGATATCAGCTTGTCCTTTGTGCTAATTAGGAGGAGAGCTGTTCCTGGGCACTGTGCCTTTCCCTATGAAAATGGCAAGAAATTGGAATTCACACTACTTGACTCTCCAACTCTCTAGAATCCAGCTTTCCAGAAATTTTCATTTTGAAAAGAAAGAAAGCTATTAAAGTTTTCCAGAGAGGCTCTAGTTACTTTGGGCTTGCTTCCTCTGTTCCTCCATTCTCTCCTTGAGGGGAAGTGCTTACAGGGACTCAGCACTTACCCAGGCTGGGTACGGTTCAGGAGCTTCCCCGGGTGGTCACGGCACGACAGACAACGGCCATGAGGAAACCATTTACCTCCATCTGTGGGTCAGCAGGTGTGCTCTGCTTCTGATTTCTCTTCAATATTACATTGCCTTTGTCAATGGTGAACTCATTTCCTTGTTGCTGGAAATACACATCACATGTAGGCAAAGCTGTTGCTAATATCTTGAAAAGAAAAGAATTGACAGTTGAAGTAACCCAGTAAGGCTCCAATTATACTACAGTTCATTCAGATTATACCATCATTTAAAAGGTAGTCATGACTCTCAATATCCTCAGGAAAAATCATGGAGGCAGTTTATAATTTTTTTTATTTCTCTGCAACCAAGGGAAATGTTTTTTGGTTGTCCTAAGACCACATGTTGGGTTTTCTTTTTAAAGGATGTACTAGTGAAATTCTAAACTAGAAAAACACTTATTCTCATCTGCTGGCATTATAGTGTTTAAAAGAAAGTACAAAAGCTATGTTTTAACGTGAACTTTAAACAAGCAAACTATAGAAAATCAACAATAGGCATGGAATAGAGATTCAAAGGTATATTAAATATTGTCAGTTTTGACACTCTCCAGACCAGTTCCGCACATTTTCTCACAGTTTGAGGATCTGGCCTTATCAGTTCTCACGAGAGGTTATTGCTGGAGAGCCAAATTCCTCCAGCCACACGAAAGCAGAGAAATTGCATTCACACAACTCCAGTTTCCTTAAAATCCTGGTTTTTGTGGACTTCTTTTATACCATCTATTTAGTCATTCAGCTGCTGACCCAGTTAGACTCTCCTATTGCTCATTTCCAAATTTTCACTGTACCCCAGACATTGGTTTGCTTGATTGTTTCATTGTTAGTTTTACAAACAAGGTTTTTAATTTCACAGCTGCCCTGGTTGTTCATCATGAGCAGGCAGCCCTGAAGGTCAGCTGTGGCCTGCTCCAGGAACTCAAACTCTACAGTGTTTACTACTCAGACTCTTAGCCATGCTCTCTGACTAGCTGCCCGGCCTCTCTGTGGTGAGGACTCCTGCACAGGCCAACTGGATTACATTTATTTGCCCTCTTTGATTTTTCTCAGCAATTGTGCTCATCTTGTAAAACACAATTATAAACTGTTTTACTGACTTATACAGAAAACATATTATGGAATTAACTTTATACTATGTTATATTAAATTCTGTACTATGCTAAATTCAATCAATACTAACTTTTGTGACCACAGGCAGTTTCTAGAAAAACAAGCCAGTGCCTCCCAAACTGCATAGGACTCACCTGGGGATTTTGTTCACATGCAGACCTGATTCAATAGGTCTGGGGTGGAGCCTGGGATTCTCCAAGTCTAATGACCTCACAGGTGATTCCAATGTTGTCAGTCTACAGACCACATTTTGAGGAGCAAGGATGCTGCCATGGATTGAATGTGTCCATGCAGAATTCATATGTGGCAACCTAACCCCCAGTGATGGTATTTAAAGGTAGGGCTTTGGGAGGTGATGAGACCATGAAGGCAGTCTCCATGACTGGGATTCGTGTCTTATGAGAGAGACCCAGAGAGCTCTTTTGCCTTTCCCCCTGAGGACACAGAGAAAAGACAGCTATGATCAGGAAGTGAGCTGTTAACAGACACCAAATCTGCTGTGCCTAGCTTCCAGAACTGTGAGAAATAAATTTATGTTGTTTATATGCCAACCAGTCTATGGTATTTTTGTTATAGCAGCCTGAACAGACTAAGACAGACAGATAGATAAATGAATGAATGAATAAATATCTTTTGAAGACCCATCAAGAAAGTTGATTGTCATTCTTTATTTTTTTTATTAATTTTATTTTGGTATCATTAATGTACAATTATATGAGCAACATTATGGTTACTAGACTCCCCCTGTTATCAAGTCCCCACCCCATACCCCATTACAGTCACTGTCCATCAGCATAGTAAGATGCTATAGAGTCACTATTTGTCTTCTCTGTGTTGTACTGCCTTCCCCATGTCCCCCCTCCACATTATGTGTGCTAATTGTAATGCCCCTTTTTTCCCCTTATTCCTCCCTTGTCATTCTTATTTCCAATTTCAATTTTTGAAATTGAAAACTATTTGAATAATAACAATTATATGTAAGTTGCAGTCCTGGATTCATGTCCTTTCTTATCTCCATTTCATCCTCTCTTCTCTCTGCTATCTCTTAACCTAGACTGCTCTCCATTCATCCCAGGCCTCACTCTGCTAGTTGGCGTTGACAAGAACACTGAGGATAGCCTTTGTCATGTCATTCCCTTGCTCAAAAAACTTCAGTGAGTTCTCATTGCCCAGAGAATGGAATTTAGCCTCTTTAATAGGAAAATATAACATTCTTTTCCAATGCTTTTTCCCTATATAAGCTTCTAGTTCTACCTGTGAATACACCTGCCTGGTTTCTCCTGAGCCATTACTTTTAACTTTCTGGGTAGACTGTCTTCTCACCTAGTCTACCAACTGAAATCTTTATTGTTTTCAAGTCTGAGGCTGAATTTTTCTACTGTGTGGTAAGCTCACTCATAAAGGATCGCTCCTGGCTCCAAAATGCTAATGCACTTATTGACTCTCCTTGCCAAATGGCACTGCCCCCATCCTTAGCTATCTGTGTGAGTGTATTAGCTATAGTTAGGAACTCCTGGAGGGCAGAGACCCTAACTAATCCCTTTCTATGCCACCCGTAGCCTGGGGCTCAGCGTTATGCATGTTGGTGGGCAACATAGATGGTTAAAGAGCAAGAGTTTTGAAACTCGATGTCCCTGGGTTTCAATCCAGGGCCCAGTGCCCACTGGCCACGTGACTGGGAGCAAACTGCTTAGCCTCTCTAATGTCTCCCCTCATCTGAGAATTAAAGATGTTCATACTTAGGTTATTTGGAAAATTAAAGGGGATAATGTACATAAAGAGCAAAGCACAGAGCATTAAATAAATGGAAGTTTTATATATATCAGCAGCACATATAAATATCTGTTAAATGAATGCACAAATAATTAAATGGCACCTAACTTAAATCCTTTCTAGTACAATTAAAGATCATATTCTGAGTGGAGAGGAAATTATTCTGTTATTACACTTTAAACAGTTAACTTTAATCCCCTCTTGAATCCCCCTTTCCCTTGTCACAGATATTACTTTCCAATCCTTCAAGTGATTTTCCTTGCCCTTTGCACCCATTTTGTACCCTCAGCTTTTTCTTTAAGCCACAGAGAGAGGAGCGAGGATTAACGTCAGATACTCCAGTCACTGTAATTATCAGGAGCTGTATCAACTTACAGGATATTATCCTATGTAACTGCTTGTCGGCACTCACTGGTGCAGTGAATAAATGTTAAGCAACAGTCCGTCTATTCTAGGTAACTGTTTCGGTTTTCTATCTTAAAAAAATGGGAACTACTGTATTTATAATTGTATAGGAAAAGCACTCTTGTGTTTCTCCTCTACTCTCACACTATTACCACACTCACAACACTCCTGACACAGATGTGTGGGTTTATTCCCAGACTGACCAAGTCTCTGACACCAGAAGGGTGTCCTATAATTCAGCTCAGCTCAGCTCTGACACTGCCTATCTGGAATTGGGGTTCCTGTGACCCTACCTTGAGTTTGATGATTTGCTAGAATGGCTCACAGAACTCAGGGGAACATGCAGGCTTAGAGGTTTATTACATAATAAAGGATATGATAAAGATATGGATACATAGCCAGATGAAGAGACAGATGCATAGGGGTGAGGACCTCGGGGGTCCTGGATGCAGGAGCTTCTGGCCCCACAGAGCTGGGGTGCACCACCCTCCCAGCACATGGATGTGTTCACCAACCTGGAGGCCCTCTGAGCCCTATATTTTTGGGATTTTTAAGGAGGATCATCACATAGGTGTAAATGATCATTAACTCAGTCCCCAGCCCCTCTTCCCTTCCTACAGGATGGCAGGACGAACTTAAAGTTTCAGGTATCTAATAATGTCTTCGTTTTTCTAGTGCCCAAGCCCCCATTTAGAAGCTGTCCCTGAGCCCATCAAAAATATCATTAGAACAAAAGGCATTCCCATCACTGAGGAAATTCCAAAGGATTTAGGAGCTCTGTGTCAAGAACGAGGGTCAAAGAACAAATATTAGAACAAAAGATACTCCTAGTGTTCTTAAAATTGGGAAATCACAAGGCTTTTAGGAGCTTTGTGCCAGAACCAGGGGCAAAGATCAGTATCTTTATTTTTTATTATTTCACAACAGTTACAGCCCAATATATAAATATAAATATCAATATTCCTTCCCAAATGATTTTTTAATCACCATCATAAAGATGCAATATTAAAAACCATGAGCAAACAGGATTGTTTTATTCCCACTTACCAGAGTTTTAAGTCTAAGCAGTAATAGTGAAAGCCTCTTCCCCCTACCCCAATTCCAGTCAGGAAAAGAGCAAATTCCAAGCCTCCTAAGGAGCATTTTCATCCCTCCCACCAACGGTGTCCAGATAAGGAAGAGATGTCAGGAAATGAGCTAGTCACTGGGGCCTGGAATGAGTTCTCTGTTTTCTGTCCAAATCCTGTCTTCAGAATTGACTTTTACATGTTCTCTCTCCTTGAGGACCTTCACCTCAAGTTACCTTTCCTTTGTCACATTTCTATCATGGCTGGAGTCACATGATAGAGAATGCCACGGGAGTCTAGCTTGTATTATCTCTAATCTTTTTACATGTGTGTGTGTCTGCTCCTCTAAGAAAATTTTTAGAAAAATATTTTTAAGGAAAATTCCCACTGTGAAATTGTAGGAAGTGAAGCAGGGGGAGAAGTGACATTTGCAGTCATACACTCCTGTGAACAGCACTGGCTTCAATGAGAACTGTCAATCTGAGATCAGCCTCAGGAGGCCAGTGAGCATATCTCACAGCTCTGTGCATGCCTTATTCATTCATTCCTTAGCAGAGATTTATGGAGTTCCCACTGTGTGTCAGGAACTGTGCTAGGGCAGCACTGGTGAATGGGACACGTCTTTCCTTCCCTCTCACAATTTATAGTGTCGTGGGGGAGACAGGCAAGTAGATGCTCAACAAACACATTCTATCAGGTGGGTGCACTGAAAGAGCAAAAGTAAACTCCGTTTCATCACAAACTAATCCAATTCACTCCTATGTGCCAGGCTTTGTACTAGAACTGGGATATAAGGAAAAACAAAATGTAGTCTCTACCAAAATTTATATAATCTGAAGATGGGTGATCTGCATTTGTGGGCAAAACCATTATTTTCTAGGTACTTTACCCATGATATTGAGTGTTATGCTATATGTATTTACCGACATTCCATGAAGTCTCTAAGGAAGGTAAATGAAATACAAACCAAAGGTGCAAGTCCTTGGAGTGGCATCGCCTCCTCTGCCTCGTAGAGATAGAAATCCAAAGGTGCAAAGAAGTAGCCGGGGGCTGGTTCTGTGCAGCTGGGGCCAGTGATGTAAGGGCGGCACTCACACTGCCCATCCTCAGGTGAGCATCTAGGAGAAACAAAACCATCAATGCTCAATGGGGTGAGTGGAAATGAAGGCATGGGGGGGCTGCGCTAAATGCCCTGAGTTTGACTCATTCTTTGACTCGATCAGTCCTGGGGAAGATGCTGAGAGGCCATGGGACTGTACATCTGGTCTTGAAAAGCAAATCTAGATCCTCAAAACCCAGGTAGCCACTTCTTTCCTTTCCTCTGAGGAAAAGGACAGTGTAGGACCTTTGTTCACAGGGTGGCAAAATGTTGGTGTTTTAGGTGAGTCAAGCTACATATTTGCAAGCTTTGTATATCCAGGCAGCAGAACTGTTTATCTCACCCTTGCAAATGTTTGAAGTAAAATAAATCAGTTGGGCTATAGTTGATGTATCGAGATCATTACTGTTCAACACACTTTGCTTGTCATGGAATAAAATCCTTCCCGTGACTAGGACTAGGTTAGAATAAAGTATGCTCTTACATGGAAATGTGAGTGAAGACTATTGCCATAGAACTAGGTCATTCACTTTACTGACTTACATGGTAGAATAAGCACCTCCAATATCACAGTCACAGGGAGAACATCCCTGGGGATGATTTTCCAGTCCCCAGTATCCAACCTGCAAAGAGAAGATGCTCAGTTGATTCCAGCTGTGAAGGTATGTGCTGCTCTGAAGCATAATATAAAATCCCTACACTTCAGGTGACACATGTCAAATAGCCACACAGCCTGGACAGTCCCACAGTAAGCCCTTCTTGCCTGTGCACTTTGTAATCATCTTTGAGGACACATACCTCCTATTCCCAGGACTTGAAATGAAGGGGGCAGGCAGGTGTCCACATGTTGTTTCAAGTGGAAATGCAATGAAAACCATATGGTTCCTCGGACAGAACCAGTTGAGCCTCAAACTGGGGTGTTTAATGTCACTCTGAGGATGTCTTCAATGAGCCTTTTTGCAACTGCTTTGTAAAACCAATAGATTCTCCCCACCACAGAAGCCCTAGGGAGTTTTACTTACACAATACTGAAATGTTTGGGGATAAAAAGATCAATCAAGCTGATCTTGAGATCTTACATGAATATCACAGTTTAGCAGAATCGCTTTTTTAATAAATAAGTTGTTTTAGGCGTAACAAACTCTGCATGAGAGTCAACTCTGTTGTTCAGAACTTGTTTCATCATTGCAACATCTTGACCTTTATTCAACATAAACAGCTGGTGAGATATAAACAACTATTTCTTAAATATGATAACATTTACTATAAAATGCTCAGAAAAGTACTTCCCCCTGGAATCTCATTTTAACATGCTCAGATAAAAATAAGGTCTTTATAGGCATGGGACCTCCTTTGAAATGGATTTGTTAAGTCTGTACTTTTTTTGTTACCTTGGTAAAATTTTATATCCAATTTTACTCAAAAGGATTTATGTTAAACATTAAAAGTTGACACAATTTGTTACAAAATGTAGCAAAGGACTTTCAGTATTTTTCCCAAAACCAAATTTCAGGTTAGGCAAAAGCAGTATGAAACCAACTGCCTCCCTTGGGAAGTGGTTGTGAAAACTCCCTCTCAGCAGGGCATGCTGCCATGTTGCCCGCTGCAGCCTGGGTCCAGGGCACCACCAGAGAGACGCGGATGTAGGGGTGTCCAGCTGATGCATGGGCTCAGCCACAGTGGACAAGTCTCCATGGGGTGACCCCTGCTTGGTTAGTTTCTTCCTGTAGACACAAGCGAGTTAATGGCACAGTCGGCAGTTATTCTGCCAGGGAGAAAAGCCAGCCTGAGTCTAAGGTCCGTCTGGATCGCCTGGTGTGGCGTCTTGGTCCTGTTAACCAGCTCCACACCCCGCTGTGCTGCCCATGTGTGGTCACTGAGCTTGGGGCGGCTCACCTTCCCACTTGGGACGGCTATGGATCACCTGCTCTGTCTTACAGAGTTCCTTCCTCCTATTTACTTCCTTACTCTCTTTCCCCACCTCCTCTACCCCATCCTCATATGTTTTTAGTAAAATGACTTAAAATATTAGCACAAAACTATGTTGTAATAGGCAGATGTTTCTTATTTATCAGCTACATTTCTTCAGACACATCAAGGTCACTGTTCTTTCATTAGGTTAAGTTTTTGTTTTTTCTTTCTAAAATGTCAGGGAAGGCTGCCAAGCCAGGAGAACAAAGAAAAAAGTAGGGTTTAAACTCCCTCATGTGTGACACATTTCTTGTGGAGTAAAAAAAAATATTTTATTTTACTAATTTTAGACATGCATGCTCATAGGTTTAATAGAGTCTGAAAAACCCAAGAGTTTATTTCCCACAGGAATCTACAATACATTTAAACCTGTTTTCATTTACTACTTTTAATGAGCTTATCCAAAATATTTTTAGGCCAGGAGTGGGAGGGATGGCACAGGGACTGCGTGCGAGAGAAAGAAGGAAGAGCCCTGTGATCTGGTGGGCTGAGAAAAGGGGGTGAATAAATGCTCTTAGAGTCCTTATTACTTGGCACTTTGAGGAGAACAATGGAGAAAGCTAGTGCCTGAGTCAGTTCAGTCCAATCTGGTAAATGTTGGCATGCTGGTAAATGTTTAACGGCCATCTTTCTGCAGGAGGGTGGGGGGCTTACAGTGTTTGCTGATTTCTGTAGTGTAAATACTTTTAACACAGAAGTACTGAAATACAATAGGATATGGAAAGTGATTAACAAGACCAATGGCAGGAGAAATGTGCATCGCTACATGAAAGGGAAATCATAGGCAGATACGTACAATGCATTCTTCACAGTGTGGTCCGGTGGCAAATGACTGGCACAAGCACTGGCCTGTATCCACATCACAGGTCGAGGTGGGCAGACTCCCAAGGGGGTTACAATTGCAGGCTGAAAGTACAGCATACACAATTATTCTCATTTTTATTTCCCCACTCCTGTAAACATACTTAATAGTTTATGCTGAGCAAAACATGTGGACAAGAACACAGAGCAGCCTGCCCTGCCAAATTTACTGTCTGCCTGGCTGCGTGATGATCGTACTGCATACAGCTCTGCAGAGGAAACCCACTGCCAGACACTTGCAAAGTCTCATGTAGTTCTGCTGGATGGCAGTTAGGAGATGAGGACATGAAGGACGTCATGCGGGCTGCAGTGGTCGGTGGGGTTAGCTGAGTGATGCTGGCCAGGTCTGGGGATTAGGGGCAAGTTTTCAGAGGCTATTCTGTCATGGTTATTGCTGACAGCCACTTCTCTGGCACAGGCAGCTGTCATTTCCCTGTTTTCTCTCTTTTCCTGCTCTGTAACTTTTTCTTTTCATCATGTCCATCAGCTGACAAATGGATAAATAGAAGGTACTATATTCATATTTATTCAGCAATAAAGAGAAATGAAGTACTGACAAATGCTGCCACATGGATGGTGCTTGAAAACATTATGCTGGTGAAAGAAGCCAGTCACAAAGGCCACGTACTGTATGATTCTGTTTGAATGAAATGTCCACAATAGGCAAATCTACAGAGACAGAAAGTAGATTAGTGTTTGCCTAGGGCTGGGAGAATTGGGAGGATGGGGAGGTGGTAACTAAAGAGAATGGGGTTACTTTCCTTTTTATGGTAAAATATACAATGTAAAATTTATCATCTTAACCATATTTAAGTATACGGTTTAGTAGTGTTGAGTACATTCACACTGTTGTCTGCAACCAATCTCCAGAACACTTTTCCTTTTGCAGAACTGACTTGGTACCCTTTAGGCACCAATTCACCCCATTCCCTTCACCCCAGCTCCTGGCACCCACCATTCTACTTCCCATTTCTGTGGATTTGACTACTCTAGGTACCTCAAACAAGTGGAAACATACAGTATTTGTCCTTTTGTGCCTCACTTATTTCACAGAGCTCAGTGTTTTCAAGGTTCATCCATGTTGTAGCATATGTCAGAATTTCCTTCCTTTTTAAGGCTGAATAATATTCCATCATATGCATACATCACATTTTTTAAATTCATTCATCATGGATGGACACTTGGGTTGCTTCCACCTTTTGGCTATTGTGAATGTTGCTGCTATGAACATGGGTATACAAATATCTCTTCAATGTTTGGGGTATATAGTCAGAAGTAGAGTATGTGGTTTCTTTTTGGGATGACAAAAATGTACAAAATTGATTGTAGTGATGGTTAGACAACCCTGAATATACTAAAAATCATGTAATTGTACAGTTTAAAGGGTTAATTGTATGTTATGGAAATTAAATCTCACTAAAGTTGTTACAAAAGAAAAAAAAAGCCCCAAACAAAAAACCAGTATTTGGTCTATTCTCAGAGGGCATCAGGTTAGTCAGTGAAGTCGGGGAAACATGTGGAACACTGAAACATGTAATAGGAAATTGGCTTGATGATGTAATTCATTCATCTCAAATTTAATTTCGCTGTCAAACTCAAGAAGCACATTTTATTACAGAAGAATTCAGCATGCTGCTCTTTAAACATGCAAATAATCCACAGTTCCTTATATGGGCAAAAATATGGAGCATGACACTGTGATCAAAGGGAAATTATTTACCCAGATTTCCTGAGGAATCTGCAGCCCAATGAGACCCAGGCAGCTCTAAAATTCCTATGATCCTATAGCCAAGGGTCTCCCCACTTGGCCCCAGAAAACTCTGAGGTTCTTTCTATTTCCTGGCGATCCCTCCCTCAGCTCTTTCATTTTTTTTTTCCTTCTCTTTGTCAGGGAACACAGGACCAATTCTAGAAGGGACATAAGAAAAAGGTGAAACAAATTTAAGAAATAAAAAGAAACCAGGACTTGAAAACTGCCTAAGAAGTCATCAATCTGAGCTCCTGGCACCCACCATTCTACTTCCCATTTCTGTGGATTTGAGCAGAAATGCAAAATGTAATTTAACAAATTTGTATAGGAGAGTCCTAGTGGAGGTTACTTTTCTAAAGGTTTCATAACTTGGCATTCAATTTCTTGGCTTTTTTCCCGTGTGTTTGCTCCAGCGGGGAAATGTGAGCGCCCCCTGACGGTCCCTCATGATAACCTCAGCAAACCACCGCAAGAAGTTCTCCACTAAGTCAACGAAAATTTGCAGGGGGTTAAAAAGACCCAGAGGCTGGTAGGACTCGTATTTACAGTGACTGTGAACTCTAGGGCTGAAAGACACATCCCCAAGCTTTAAAACGCCCATCCACGGCTGACTTACGCTGACAGCCCACGGGGTCGGTGGCACTCAGCCCGTAGTGGTTGGGCTTGCATTGGTCGCACTTGGCTCCCTCCACGTTCTCCTTACACAAGCACTGGCCAGCCACAGACCCCAGGGCAGGATCAGACTGGCTCACACAAATGCCACCAGATATGGTCCCGTCAGGGTCACATTCACAAGCTGGGAACAGATATGCATTATCTTAGTTAATTGCAGGAAACCTGAAATAGAAGCATAGCATTCTATTCATACTGTAACAATTGTACTTTGTTTAAATCATTGAATATGTTCACATAATTAGACCACTGGGTAAGGGGTGCCTAGAAATGTCTCCTAGATCTCTGGCTTTGGAAAATGTTGGATAATCCTACACATTTTTTTGTTTTAAAGGAAGACTTTTAAGTGATTCAAAGTAAGAGGACCAGAGGAAGACAGTTATGAAAACTGGATGTCAAGGATAGATTATTTGGAGGGGATGGAAATGTCTGGAGCTGGGCAGAGGTGGTGATGACACAAGTGTGCCAGGGAATTGTTTCCTTTTAAATGGCCAATTTTGTTAAGTGAATTTTGTCTCAGTAAAAAAGGATTTAAACAAAGAGAAAAGACTATAAAAATGAAAATAAAGTCAAGAGACAAGAGAGGGCTGTAATGAAATATGCACACACACACGGCATCTAGGGACATGAAAAAGAAAAAAATCACCCAAAATGCCTACCAAATCTCTGAAACATAGTAAACCCTGAGTCTGCCCTCCCCCATCACAGAAAGCCCACCGCAAGGACAAGTGGTATCGTCCCTTTTGATTCTTGCTGGAAGGGGCCCCACGGGAAAGCAAAGGGCAGGGCAGCCCCAGATGTTTTCTTTTTGGGTATCTGATGGTGGTGCAAACACTTGGAGGAAGAGATTCTGGAAAGTAGGATAAACAGTCACCTGTAGCAGAGGAACGACAGTACCAACCTCCTCACACCCACATTTTTTTTCAGTAGAAACTTGAACTAAAGGAAGGGGCATCATACGGAAAAGGATGCTGCTCGCACAGGTAATTCCAGAGGACAGAGTCACCAGGGCCTGACTGAGCAGGAGGAGGAGCTCTCACATCAGGGCTGCCAGGCAGGGCAGTGACACCCTCATCACCGCAGGCGTCCACACAGGGGCTGGAGCAGCATTTGTTGGGCTTTGGTATACAGGCCAAGGTGCCGGTGGCATTAAGTGACCACCAAGGTCTCTTGTATCTTTGCAGTGCTGTGTTTCCAAGGGATTCCACTTTTAAGGAATTCAATAAAGAAAAAAGGGAATATCCTGATTCTAAGGCACAATTATGTTCACATTTACACATGTTTGCTTAGGATTAATAAAAACAAAACCCTCAAGTCTAAAGCAATGTTTACATACCTATTTAGGTTAGGGAGCTTAGTGGAAAAAATCCAGTCAAACCAGTTGTTTGGTGTCACTGAAGCAAATGTGGCTGTCTGACAGAATCTTCTGATTTTCAATTGTTTGTTATTGGATTGTGACTGGTGATAAAACCTTACTATGGAAAAATAGCATTGGGTTCTGTTTAGTTTGCAAAAACCACAATTTCCTCCTAATTAAAGCTAGTTGCTTCTAGAAAGCAAGGAATGACCGGATTCACTTTAGAAGTAGCCAAAAGGAAAAATCTTAGCTTTATTTGGGAGACACTCCAAAAGGTCAGCACTGAGTTCCGGAGTATAAATTATTCACAGAAGTATCCTTTGGGAAAGGGATGTGGGCGAGTGAGTAGTAAGTTTAGTTTCAAATAACCCTATGTTATTCATGGCCTGGGGACAGAAGTCCAATAAAATCCAGTAATTGGTGTGACAATTTAATTCCAGCCTCAACTTTTACTGTCTATGGTTGAGTCTATCCTTTGTTTTTTCTGTATCATATTTGACTGTTTTAATCAAAGAACACTTAACATTAGTCAACTCTTATGCCTAGAAGCTGATTATGTAAATATTTAGGCTTGAACAAGGACAATTTAGAGAACATTTACATGAGAATGCTAGTCAGTCTTAATAAACATCATCTGTGTACACATGCTTGCATACACATAAACACATATCTGGGTAAATTGAAAAACTGGGGAGTCTCATGATGGCAGTTTTTATAAGCTCCTCATCTGCTTTTCCTCAAAAAACTCCTTCTTTACAAATAATGACTTCTAATTAATATTGGGGTACTAGTTGTCCTTGGATGTCCTTCAAAGGCACTATCAGGTTAATCCTAAGCGATTCTTAAGGAACAAGAGTTTTGTTGATGGGTTCAAAACATGTGGTTTGGTCATTTCCAATCTCTTTCTAGATTCCTAGATTATCTGTTTCAGAATATATTTTCCTGATTCCACCTAAGAGCAATTTAATCTTTTTTAGAAATACAACTTTTAAAACATTAGTAAAAGAGGTATGTATGTGTGTGTGTGTTGTGATTACAAATTCTGGTGAAAAAATGTAGGACATTTAGAACATTGATTTAAAGAAATACATTTTTTGAGAACCCAGTTCTTTGTATCATTTTAAAACAGGTCATATAAGGTAAAATTTTATGCAATCATGTACCTATAATCTGGGCAAAAAACTGTTTATGCTTTTTCTACTCCTGTGATGATTTTAACATTTGGTATCTAGGACACTGTATGTATTCAGGTGGCTATTGAATCACTTTTGTGTAGGACTTCATTTTCTGTATTTTGATTATATAAAGTGTGAAGTTGTAGTTCCATAGCCAGGAGCCCCTCCCAATATGGTTTCATTGTATTGATAACACGGCCTACAAAGCAGGATTTCTGGGTCAGGAAGAGGCAGTCTCCTAGTCCTGGGTGTCTGTGTTTCTTTGCCAAGAGCACTGACAGTGCAAGGCCCTGGCTACTCTTCACCCAGGCCCTCGGGCCCTTTCTCAACGCTGTGTCTGCTGCAAGCTGCTTTGAGGAATGAGGTAACATCTTTCCCTGGAAATGTCTCCCCTGGACAAAAAACAGGCTTGCTTCCACTTGCTATAAAAGCAATGCATCCCCCAGGCTCAGGGTTCCACTACTGTGACGTAAACTCAGTAGGTGTGCAGGATGCACCTGGTATCCTTTGAGCTGCCCCATGGGACTTGGGGCTCAGGGACATGGGAACTCACACTAGTACAAACATCTTGTGGCTTGCTGTGCCATGAGAAATGAAACCTTTGTCTTTGACCCAGGAGTTTTCTTGTCTTCAACCAGCATCCACGAAACAGTAACAAGCTAACTTGTTAGTTTCCAAGTGGAGTAAGGTCTCAGACTCAGTAACCAGCACTGGGTATCTGAAACCAGGTGGAGTACTTATCTATGAAATAATCTACAGCAAGGTGCCAGGATGCAAAATTTAAGGTGGCACTCACTGGCAGATTAGTGCAAGTGGTAAGTGACAACCCTGCACTTAAATGACTGCAGGTGAACGCTTCCTTAAAGTTTAGGACCTGGATGCTTTACTTGCCTCACTATAGTCTCATTCCTGCAGAAAAATGCAAATTAAAATAATGATGAGATATAATTTCATTAGCAAAAGTTAAAGTGTGACAAAACCAAGTGTTAGCCAGAATATAGAGGAACAGGAACTCTTATTCACCATTGATGGGTGTGTTAATTGGTGTGCCTGCTTAGGGGACAATTAGGTATTATCTAATCAATGTGAAGCAGTTAATACTCTATGGCCTAGTAGTTCCACTCCTAGGTATGACTCTTAGGGACAGTCTTTGTACATGTGCACAAGGCCACATATACAAGAATGTTTACTGAATCATCAAAAGAAAAATGGACAAATATGTTTTTCATATTTATAGGAAGAAAAAATTCTATACAAAAATTGTACTGGAGAACTAGGGTTACCTGATAGGGACAAATCTCAAAAATATAATGTTGAACAAAATACTCAAGGAAACATAATACATCATAATATTGTTGATCTAAAACTGAAAAACATGCCAAAATATATTGTTGTAGATGAAAACACATGTAAGTGTAAAAACAAGCATGTTAATGGTAATTGTCAAATATATGAGAGTTTATCCCTAGGAAGGAGGGTAGATAAATGGGACAGATGTGTACCTGGGACATCGGTAGTGCCCGAAGTGTTTTACTACAGTCCTGAAGGTGACTGGGTAAGATATTACATTTTAACAAAGCTGGTGGTAGGCATAAGGGTATTTCTTATACTATTCTCTATTACTTTGTATAGGTGTGAATACTCCATTTAAAAAAGTTGAGATTAAAGATAAATGAAAGGTTTTTAAGGGTTGAAAAAAGAAAAAAGAAGCAAAGTAATGATTAGTTCATGTATCTTAACAGCAAAATTGAGTCACCTACATCTAGTCAAATGTAGCCAATTTCAGCACAGATCTTCCTCAAGTTAGGGTGGGGTTACATCCTGATAAACCCGTTGTAATTGAAAATATTGTAAAAATGCATTTAATACACCTATTGGACATCACAGATTAGCCTTGCTTACCTATGTGCTCAGACTTAGATTAGCCAACAGTTGGACAAAATCTGCCAACACAAAGCTTATTTTATAAGAAAATGTTGAAGATAGCATGTAATTTATTGACTCCTGTACTGAAAATGAAAAGCAGAATGGCTGTGGGTACACAGTGGTTGTGAGTGTACTGTTGCTGACCCCTGTGACCCCATGGCTGACTGGGAGCTGAGATGGTTGCCCCCGTTGCATCATGAGAGAGGATCCTCCTGCATGTCACTAGCCTGGGAGTAGATCTTAATTCACAATTCCAGGTATGGTTTCTATGAAAGAGTATTGCTTTCATACAAAAGTAAAAAAATAACAAGCTGGGACCATCTGTAGTTAGCTGCTTCCCTGAGCTGACTTCCATGATACTTGGGTTGCAGCATCTTCTGGAACCATCCCCCCTCTCTTGGTTGAATCGGGATAGTTGCCTGATTCACCAGCCTCAGCCACTGTGTGAGATGACTAGGATGGACCCTGATTATTTGGTTCAACTTGCTGGTAAAGGAAAAGCTCTCCAAGCTCAAGTGCTCTGCAATCCCCCACTCTGCTGGGAGGGCAGCTTGGACATGCTGCTAAGCCGGGAGGGGCCGACAGCCCCGGTGAGGCCTGCTCACACAGGTGGAAAGGCTAGGTCAGAGACCGGGGACTCACGAATGCAGGCATAGGGATCCGAGATAGCCTGGAAGGGGTCCCTGTAGAAAAGGGGTCTGCAGCGGTCACAGTGCTGCCCCTCGGTGTTGTGCTGGCAGTCGTCACACACGCCCCCACTGAGGCCGCCGCTCCTCAGGTATGCAGTCATGTCGAAGTGACAGAGGTCAGAGTGGCCATTACAGCTGCACGCTGAGGAGAGAGAGGGGTTACTGAGAGATCAACTAAGGTCTGGGCACAGCCTAGTGCCCAAGTATTCCACCTTGGCAGCCTCTCACCTTCCACTTCTACTTGGCCTTATTAGAGATATGCCAGGTATACTAAGGATTAACACAGGTGCTGTCAGAGGATCTTTCTAGAACTCTGATTCTGCTCATATGCTCTTTATAAAATGTGTTACCAAAATGTTTAATATTTAGTATTTTTAAAAATCAAGTAAACAGAAATAAATCATGTACATGATCTAGGAGCCCTAGAATGCAACATTTTTTTGTTGTTCAGTAAAGAACACTTTACTGACTTCTGCTTTGTAAATCTGACTTCTGCCCATCATATGTTCTGTAGATACTGGAATTTGTGGGTAAGATGGCATCACTGCACCCCACCCAGCATCTTCTCCTCTCCAGGCAGAAGAGCTGCATGGGGCTGCTGATCATTCCCATCCCACCTGGGGCTCAGTCAGAGCAGTAGAGGGAAAGGCAGTTTGTTGGGAGGAACTGGCTTGTCTTCATGGTAATGTCTGTGCTGTTTGTCTTGTCGGTTTTTGCTCTGTAAACAGCGTAAGCTCAGGCTACATCAGGCAGGGTTTTGTGTACTGTGACTCTCACGGATGGAGCCTTTCTGTGAGAGCTTGTCTAGTGACCACTCACCTTCTCAAATCCTGTTTTTCCCAAGTCTGGGAAAAGAAACCGAGTAACAAATCGGTTTGGAAGACCATCAAAATGTGGAGGCAACAAACACATTGCAAAAAAAACCCCATACCTCATTAGCCTAAATATTTTATAAAAAATACAACAGTCTGTCAAACTCTATTCTAGTTCTCATTTTTCCTATTATCTGACATACGGGCTTAAGGTCACACTCATAGAATGCATGATCATTCAGGAAAACAGTAGGGGTCTCTGTACCAAACCTAGTGTTCTCCAAACTCCTGGATGGCACTGTCCCCACTGGCACTACCATTACATGGTTCTGCCCCTCCTCTGGAAAGGGACCACACACATGCATACTGTTCCCATTTTTAAATTAATTTTTGGTGGGAGGATTTGAGAAGTTGGTGGTTCTTCTATGTGAGATAATGGGAGACATGAGGATATCACACAATGGAGCTAGAAGCCACAGGTTCAAAAAAAACCTTGTCTCTCAGAGTCCCACAGAAATGCACTAAATGTTCTTCAAAATAAGGTAACGCAGGGCCCACTCAGTCTGTGCTAAGAATGTATGTTCACCCACGTCTGCAAGTGCTGTCCTGGAGGCCGGCCGCCGGCTGCCAAGGAGCATCCTGGAAGAAGTCCTTGCACCTCTCACAGTTGGGGCCAGCTGTGTTGTGCTGACAGACACACCGTCCAGGAACCTGCATTGTGAGATAAAGTTTAAAAAAGGGCTTATCTTTGAGGAAACTGGGGTTTTCTAAATGCAAAATGAAATAACAGGCTATAGGGCCTCTCTGGTTCTTAGTTTCCATGTTAGTTATGATACCAACCTCCACTATCTTTTGTTGTTTGCCTAACTAGGTTTTAAATTTAAAATTTTAAGATGTTGAGTGAACATGTACAATAAAGCATTCAGCATTCAGCAATTTTGAATTCTAGTTTCAGGGCAACACATCTCAGCCCTCAGCACAATGAGGGACAGGATGGGGATTGTGAGCATAAGTGTGCGTGTGGAATGTATGTGGGGAAGATTTAGGAGCATAAGGGAAAAGAGGGAATTAGCAAACAGAAACTACAGAGAACTGTGTGATTCTCTTGGTTTTCTCAAATTATCCTAACTCCAAATTCAAAGGGAAAAGTTCTTTTTCCAGTGAAACACAGAGATAGCTGAATGGGAAAGTGTAATAGCTTCAACATCAAGCCTTGTCTGATCATGACCAATAGTTTAATATTATTTAGTAGACACCTGGGGGGGGGTGCCCAGGGCTGTGCACAATAATACACTTCTGCTGCATCACTCTTTTAGGCCTAGTCCTGGGAAGGGAAGAGATTTGCATACAAAGATTCAGAGTGTAAGAATGCCACTTGGAGTGACCATTTTTATGGTGTCAGGTATTACTTCAACACCGTGCCACCAAGTACAGGCTTTCTCACACAATAGACCTTCAGTCAATTTTTGTGAGAGAATGCATGTGAAATTATGAGTCCTCCCCTCCAAATCTCCATTCTCTAAAAAACAAATAAAAGGAGAGAAAGATGGGCTATCTTGTGATCATAAATTATAAATTCTGTGCCTTAGTTCAGTGGTGCCCATTACATGGCAGAATCCACAGAGCTTCTGGCTAGAGAACTGAAGGTCCCCAGATGGCCTGTCAGGCCAGGTTGAATGACACCTGCTCCAGTACCAAGCTGGCACTTTGATTGCTGATTCCCACAGGGATCTGATATTCACTCAGCACCAGGACAGTGAAAGAAAAGTAGGGGAGCCAACTGCTTTTCCAGATTAGTAACTCACCATTCGAGGGGGGCTGAAGACATCTCCTCGTGCCTCCTGCATTGGGCCACATTCACTTGCATGGCCATTGCAAAAACAGCTTCCCCGAACCACCATCTCATACAAAGCATAGTAATATTTATCAAGGAAATTGTTTTGCCTCCTTCCAAGCAAAGTATCCCCAAGAGTATGGAGTTTGGTAAAGTTTATCCTCAGGTTTGTTAATGTCACAAGGTCTAGAGAAAGGAAAATAATGAAAATAGTATATCAAAGTGCATTTAACTTGCACAGTTTGAAGCACCCTCCTTGAGGGACATCCTCTTAATGTATTATAGAAATGCAATGATAAGGAATACTCACAACATGAAATTTTAGAAAAAGGAATTGATGTGAAAAATATAAAGCAATTCATACCCTGGATGTAGGGGCTGTAAGGGTTTTCTATTTCAAAGCTGGGATCCAAAACTTTTAAAACAACCTGTGAAAGAAATGTAGATAGATTTATAGTATTTTACCCCATAACATCATTGTTAAATATACTCTTAAGAAGAGATCCTGACCTTACAGGAAGGATGAGCCATTGCCTCCCAGTGGGCATAGGATACAGATTACCATTTGGGTTCTCCTATGATAAAAGTACTAAGAGTGAAAGTGAATGGAAGTCTTTCTACACAGGTGGTCGATACAGGCAGAAGTGATGTCACTGGTGAAGAGGGTCCCTGCTGTGGGGTGAAGTGGTGGGGTCATACTTCAGCAAGTCATCCTCAGTTTGGATCTGGCAGGGGATCCTGGAGCTGTCTTTGGCCATGAATTCTTTCTGCTCTACCTGATCAGGTAATACCTCCCAAAACCCTACACTGACCTTCTGCCAGTCACTAGCTTTGTTCAGAGGGATGTCCCTGGCGACCCCACCTGGGTGATGGCTTACAGAACATGGAGATGAGATAACTAAGCGAAGGCCGCTGCTAGATGCAAGCAGATGCTCCTTCCTCTGGGTTCCCAGTGCCCAGCCTGGATTCTAGCCCCTGTTCCCCTTCAGCTGGGCTCTCTTGTGCAGGATTGTTTCTTATAATGTATTTATTACTTATCTGAATTGAGAAGAATTCAGGACTCATTTCAATTTAGATACTTGCATTTAAAAAATCCAACAGCTCAAGTTGTATTTTGGTCAACACCACCTAAATTGTTTTCATTTAAATCAACCACATTACCAAAAAAGGTCTAATTTATACCCAAAGAAATTCAAGAAAGGGAATACTACCTCACCACCAGTTGAGGGTTCAATATCCGAGTATCTGGAGTCACAAACAAGGTCTCCCACTCCCTGGGCCTGGCCAGATGTGATGTTGGGAAAGGAAGTAGCACAGTCTTTTGCAAAATATTTGAATACTTTCCAAGTGTGTCCATAGTTTGTGGAACGTTCAACTAACATTGCAGCAGGCCGGAAAGTCTATGGAAAAATTAGTCAAATTACTAATGCCTCACAAAGGAAGATTTTATTACCCACTTCAGATTGAATATTTATGTTCTCTAATTTTTTTTCAAACTTTACATGTGTCTTTTAAAATCTATTATACAATGAACATACCAAACAAAATCTCTTTCCCCAAGTGGGCAAGTATTTACAAGCATAGACTTTGCCCTAGGATTTAATTCCAATTAAAATATTTTTATGGCTGTGTGAATTATTAATTGAAGAAAGATAGCATACACATTTTTTAAAAAGTTAAAGTAATTGATATTTTACAGCAGTTTGCTTGTGGTTCTCTTTGTCCAAAATGTTTCCTTCCAGCAAACTTTTATACACCCTTCAAAATCTACCATGAAATTTACCCTAATTCCCCAGAGCAGAGTTAGCCTTATCAGTGAATTCCCCAGCATTCTAATCATACATCTATTTTTGTACTTATCACTATATATTATAATTTTAAGTTTATATGTGTTTGTTTCCATGACTACAGTGTGAGCTCTCTGAGGGCAAAGACTGGTGTTTTATTTACACTTTTAAATGTTTTATTTATATTCATTTTTTATTACCATAACAGCATCATGCTTGAAATCAAAATTACTATTTTAATGAATGACTATAGAATGAATATAACACAGGATTCTCTCTCATAACTAGCTTCGTAAAGACCCTTTAAATTTTTCTTCCTCTTTTGATCACCATCTTACCATATTTTTTTCCCCAAATAATTCCCAGCACTTGCCCTTTTCTTCTGAAAATCATCTTTCTAGTTCTTGCGGTCCCTATCACCCCAGGGCTTGGAGTTTTCCTTTTTGCTGTATCTTCTAAGTTTTTTTTTGTTAATCATGTAATTTATTAATGAGCAGTGGTATTTCTTTTTTCACTCAAGAACAAAAACCCAGATTATAAAGCTTGAATCCAAATTTACACAGCTTTTTGTTCTCTGCAAGCAAGAAAATTCCAGGTAAGCCCAGCATTTGGCATTTGGTAAGTAGATCAGTGGGTAAAAAGCCTACACATCTATACCTTGAAAGTCAGAATAAGGTGGCTGAACTGAAATAATGCCTCTAGGTCCAATCTGATGCTGACATGATCAAGACCTAAAGAAAAATCCAGAAAGGAGAAAATCAGTGATTTTGAGAGACTCCAGTTTATCATGTTAATCCCTCACCATGGCTTGTCTATGATAAAACGCTTTAAAACAATGTGATCACTCTTGTTCCTAGCCTGTGGCAGTGGTTTCCCATGCTATTCCATGCCCGGAGAAGGTCTGCATGAGAATAATACAGGTTTTACCCAGACTGTGCCCGCATTCAAGTCTTGGTGGCAATGTGCATGACCACTGTGTGGCAGTAGTATGTAAGTACCACCAAGCGAGTGACAGGGCATTGTCACAGGTGGAGAGGGAGAGCTCATTTCCTTGATCTCAAACCCTGACTACACAAAATCATGAGCTAGCAAGCCAGGACATGGCAAAAACCCACATGCCCTTTTCTTCCAACAGCTGCCAACAATCATTTGAACTAGATTCATTGTAACTTTTCATAGAAACAGCTTGGAATAGTCCCCGTGGACTGAGGACTTAGGAGCTCCTCAGAAGTATCCTGGCCAGGACTTTGAACCAAGTAGCTGGCTATCACCCATCCCTAGCATGGATGTGGAGGACCGACTTCAGTGTGGACATGACTGAAGTCTCTTGAGTGGCACTGTCCAAACGAAATATAAGCCACATGTGTCACTGAACATTTTCTAGCAGCCACATTTAAAAAAGTGAAAAGAAGTGGGTGAAATTACTTTTCATATATTTAACCCAATATATCAGAAATATTCCCATTTCAACATGTGATCAATATGTCACAAATTGAATAGATGCTTTATTAGACATTTTGTTTTTTCAAACTAAGTCTTAGACACCAAGGATGTTTTATATACTTAGAGCACATCTCAGTTTGGATTAGGCATGTTTTAAGTGCTCAGTCGCCAGGTGTGGTGAGGGGCCACAGTACTGGACAGGACAGCTCTAAGAACAGTGCTGGGCTGCAGTGAACTGGGGGCAGCTTGGAGTTTGAAGGCAAATGGCTCAGGGAAAGGTTCGCTGCTGGGAGGGCAGCCACATTCCAGGCTCTGGGTCAAGGGCTCCTAACCTTTGTAGAAGGAGATCACCTTCCCCTTCTCTGAGAACCTTGTTCTATGTTATCAGCTTTGACAGAGGGGATTCCTTCTGTGAGAAGATGGGGAAGTGAATGCTGGATGTTGGGTCAAAGAGCTATTAAGCAAAAATGGCACCATTTATCAACGGAGACAGTAGACTGTGGTGAAAACCACCTCACATTCACTAAGGACAGTCCAACTAAAGGGAAATAATTAGGATCCAGAATGAACTGGCATTTAGTAAACACCAATCATGTACTTGTCCAATGGATGATACAGAAAAACAGCCTCATGTTACATTTGCCCTAAATTATCTTATATAATTATTTTCACACTCCCCTTTAATAATGGCCTAGGATTCCTCAGGGAAAATATGTTTAGTTGTCTGAAGAAAATAGAGGGATTATAGCCCTAAGTGAAACATATAGAGATGTGGCAAATGGAATCATTTTTGTGGGATTAAGGGTTCCAGACCAGTGCTGAAGAGCAGCTGTCATGAGTGAGTCAGCATACATTGATTTAATTAATGAAACCCAAGGACCCTGGACCAGGATGAGGAATCCCTCATCATGTCCAAACTTACAGTGGGCATCTAGGAAATACAGAAAGTCAGGACGCGTGTAACAGTCAGTATGACAACTGTTCAAGGGCAGGCAGGGCACAAATCCAGGGATGAAAAAACTTCAGACAATAGCTATCTTTTCAATTCAATTTCTGTATTAAAATCTTTGGCTTGCAGCAAGAAACAAAATGTCCCTTTTCTCTCTCCATTCATGTGTTAAAGAAAAAAGCATGTGTTGATAATGCCTGGACTTCCCCTAGTGTTGTTAGACTAATGTGTAATTCTGTTTACAATAGTGTGTTTTAGATTAGGGTTAATTTACCTATACTTCATAAACTTCCTTTTTTTTTTCAAGAACAAAAGGATGCAGAGGTATTTTCTTCCCCCATAGGGAAACTGAAACATTCTGAGTTACATGCTTAAAATATACTTTGATTTCTCTAGGAAAACAATCTTTTTAAAAGACAAAGTTCTGTTCTTATACAGGGCTCTACATTCTTGGTGGATACTGTCCCATTCCCATATAACTCCTTGTCACATTGTTAAAATCATTCAGAGAGAAAGACACCTTATTAAAAATATGAAGAAACATAAAACTAGAAAGGAACTTAATCATACCATTTTCAGACTGCCACCATTTCTTTTCTCTATCTGGTTCAAAACTTGTAATTACATTCTCAATGGTGTGGCTGTTTGACTGGGTGTAGGGATCATATGGAAATCTGGAGTCACAGATGAAGCATTTTTGTTCCTCCTAGAAAACACCATCATTGAAATTAAAAATAAAGAATCATATAATTACTTATTGTTGATCTGAATTTAAAAACAAGCTGTACTTACTATATTTGTCTTTCAATCTGGCTAAAAATAAAAAGCAGAGGAAATAACAAGACATCAATTTTTCCATCCAATAGGTACTTAGATACAATAACAAGTGAAATTAAAATGTGACCTAGACATTTTATAAATTATACAATAACAAGTGAAATTAAAATATGACCTAGACATTTTATAAATTTATACATTTGGGGCAAAAATGCAAATTAATGTGGAACTAATATTTTTCTTATACAAGAGGCAGATAATCTGGAGGTTATTTAAATGATAGATAAGTAATTAGGATATACTCGAGTTGAAATTACTTCCTTTAGTCAATAAAAGAATATTTGGCAAGAAATTAATAATTGGCTAAAAGGTTATCCGCAACCATTACCCTTTTTCTCTAAGATATAGTTTTTGGCAGAAAAGATTCCATAGCCAAAACCTTTACATCACACATGTAGATTTTTGTATAAGATTTTCATTAAGTTCACAACAAAGAGGCCCACCCTCTTGTCTCCCAGACTAGATCTTATTAGTGAATTGGAACTAGCTTTGCTTGGGATGGATTTTCAAAGGTTACTACAGCCAAGACTGGCCTTTAAGTTTGCTTATTTTAATGAGCCTACTTGCAGCTTTACTTACAACTCCCAAGGAAATCTCCAAAGATTTCCAAAGGACAGTCAATGGCCTGCACAGTTGTTCCTGGCTATTATTTGCAGAAGTCTGGAGGAGCATTTTTAGTTTCCAGAAAGCAGGGGCCATTAATTGTAATCCTTCCTGCCGCAAATTGCCCACAACAGCAAATGCTTGTGGTAGGTATTCAATCAATGTTGTTTGATTTTATGTCTGAACCATGACTTACAAGGGCCTACAGGACTGACCAGGACAACAGCTTTAACTTTTCCCCTGTCTTGCCTTGATCACTCAAGCTTTAGCGACACTTCTTCCTGCTCTTCCTTGAGCGACCCAAGGCTTCTCCTGCCTTAAGAATCTGAACACAAGCTGTTTTCTCCTCCCCCCATTCCTAAATATTCACATTTCTTGCTCCTTTCCTTCTTTCAGGTCTCTGTTTAAATGCCATCATCTAAGAGAGACTTTCCTTGATTCCAATTTAAAATATCACCTCCCCACTCTTCTGCCATTCTCTATCCCTTACCTTGCTTTATACTATTTTCTAAACCCCTAACATTGCTTGAGACTTGAGTTGTTACATTATTGCCTGTCTCCATTGTTAGAATTTAAGCTGAATGAGGCAAGGACTTTGTTTTGTTTACTTCCTAACCTAGAATAGGGTCTGGCACATAATAGATGCTCAGTAAAATGTGTTGAATAAATGCATGTTGATTTTAATGGCTATTTCACCTTGAGTCTGTCAAAGTAAACCAGGTGGTCAAGAAATCCATGTAATCTTTTTAGACTCACTGGCCACAATAAGCCTTATCCTTAAAGAAAAGCAAAATGCCCTTTGGAAAATAAGGAACAACAGAAGCTAGATCAATGCTGCATAGGGGGAAGTTTGCTCCAGAACTGTCCTAAAAGAGCAGCAGAAGCCCTATGATTCCACAAAGATATCAAGACTTCAAATAATTTTCAGTATTATTCTGGAAATAATTGGGGAAAATGTTTAACTTTGGGGCTTGTGAGCCATTTTTTTTCTGTAAACATTTTAGAAGTCTTTGATGGGACTGGCTACAGGGAATGCTTAGTTGTGGCAACTAGATAAGGGAGTCCCAATTTGGGTAACACTGTGGGTCAATGCTGACTTGAAGTTTCTGGAGTATGTTCAGCTTGGTAGCATTTGTTAGAGAACGATGGGAAAAGGTCCTCCTCCACACTGCAGGAGTGTTTCTGTAGACTAGTGCTTGTAGCTCTACCTGTAATACTTTGTCAGCCTGAAGATATCTGGGAATTTTTTGCAGCTCTAAGATTTTTGAGATTTCTGTGATTGCCTTGGCAAAAGAAGCCTCTGAAGTTTGATTTACTTCTATTTTTGGTGGTATTACTTCAAGATATAGGAATATTAATTTACAATTATTATCAGAGTATGTCATGAGTTGGCTATGACAATAGTAATCAAATGCCAGTGGTTAAGGAACAAAATGGGTGATGCTAGTGTTGGAAAGTTTCTGATAGTAAGAGTTGAGAACTGCTTCTTTGTCCAGAATATCTGGACTCCAGTGAAGTCACTTGAAGGGCTATCCATCCGCTTGACCTAGAGTTGAGCAAATGTCTACAGTGTCATTTCCTTGTACATGTAGAGTTTGCTTTCTTACACAAGTATTTCCCAAAATTAGAACAGTGCTAAGTACTCAGGTATTGTCTCTACTTATTTATAATCATCCTCTTTTTCTAGAAATCAATTAGAATACAAAGCATTTCCCGAGACCTCTAGGAGTTACTTCAAATGAACAATACATGGAAAAACCTGGGCCACTAACAGCTGGCTCATGTCCAACTTCCCTCCTGCATATCCTCTCATTTAAGGGTTGACGTGATTGCCTCGGGTTTCTCAGCAGGTATGATACTCAGATGACCTTGGAGGTGTGTTCTACTCCCAGAGCACAGGGAAGAAAAAATACAAAGCAACTGATCCTTTTTATAAAACTGATCTTTAAGGAAAAAAAGCACAAAAATATGTCCATTTTGGGATTTTACGGTTTTTTAGACAAGACAATTCCAAGTGGCATTGTGAGGCTGATGCACAACAAATTAAAAGATCTGTATCCTCTCTATCTAAGGCAGGACAGTCAGCGTAATGGCCTTGAGCCCTGAGGGAGTCTTCACTGCGAGAGTCAGTTAAGTCCACTGAAGGGAGTCACTAAGGCAACTAAGTAAAACAGTACATTTTATAGTAATTCCCCTCAAAGACTGAACCAAAAGCCTTTTCTGTCTAATTCTAAAGGTAGCAAGAAACAGAGGAAGCAGATTTTCCCTATTTTCTGATCAGTCAAGTGTTCCTGGACTTGGAATTGTATCACCTGGGATTCCAATGTTCAGGAAGGAGTGCTGCATCCTTCTTTTACGTTGCCCAGATGTACTTGGAAAAAATCTACCCCGCTGATTAAACCATGTTCCAACAAGTAAACAAAGAACCAACCCACCTCAAGGTAGCTGAGGATGCAGTACTTCTGGGCTCCCTCTAGCCCGCAGGTAGAAGAAGCTGTGAGCTGCGCACTACGGCCCACTAGGAGATTGCCAGTGGGGGGATGACAGGCACCCCAGCTACATTCACCTGGAGCTTTCGCGTAACGGAGCAATCCTTGAACACAACAGAAATGGCTATGGAGAAGGCAGTGGAAAGGTAGCAAAAGGCTTAAAGCAGCAGCTGGTTAAGTTGGAAAGTTAACCATCCATTTATTTTTAATATCAGTTATGTTGATCACTAAGAACATCGTGGACGCTGTTGCCCTCAGTTTGATGGAAATCTCTTAGCCTGGGAGGTTATACCATCTCCACTCAAGTCCCCACCTGGGCCAGCCTGTAGCCAGTGACTGATGGATAGATACACAGTTCAAAATGGCTTGTATCATTGCCTCAGGCTGGTATCAACTACATGGCACAATTTATACTCAGAACCTCTCTGTGGGAGGAGAGTGAAGCCTGACTCCAGTTGGGACCACATTCTGTCTCCACTTCTCACTCTCTTACTCCTCAGGGCACAGCATCAATAAACCACTTGCACACAAATCTCTGTCTCAGGCTCTGCTTCTAGCAAAACTGAGCTGAGACAGCCCCTATTTACTGGGAATTCTCCATGTGTTACTTTAGTATATGTAACACTATCTAATGCGTAGACGTGAGGAAGGAGATACTAATGCTACCTCTTATACTTCCAATCTGTACAAAATCAATGACAGAATTTAAGAAATCCTTGGGAAATAACTTTTTCTTAAAATACGTAAATTTAACTGACCCCTTTATAACCTGGGTTGTTTGGTACAGATATAGCATGCACCGGATCATGCCCCTTTGAGAGAAAGTGAGAGAGGGAGTTCTAGTCTGTGTAGCACACTTAGCCCCTGATACCTGCTGCTGAACGGATCTGTCATGAAGAGATCTGGTCATGAGTGAGATAAGATTGCTGCTATGGCAACCTTATATCAATTGTCACCTTAATTCTCTACATGTGTAGAGTCTGAAATAATATCCTTAGATCTTGGCTTAAAAACTTATTTTTAAAGTTCTATTTGTTTTAAAATGTTAAATTCTGAGTTAGAATAACTGTTAAATCTCTATACGTGAATGTGGGGTGGGTGGGGGTAATCTGAACTGTTTCTTACATGAACTATTTCAAACAATTATTTGCCTGCAGGGTTTGCTCCTTTACATTTTACTTTTGGAACCCATGACATATTAATAGATTTGTTTATTATTAGAAAGATTGAATAAAACTAAGAAGAATCTTCCTGGGAATAAGGTCAAATAGCACACATATAAAGTTAGATACACATATAATTTAAGTCCACTGAAATATTTTGTTGATAGCTATTTATAGAAATAGTGGTATTTCTTCTTTTAAAAATTATATTTGAAAAAGACAGTATAGCATCTTTTTTTTTAGTTGAAGTATCACTGATATTCAACCTTACATTGGTTTCAAATGTACAACAAAGTGGTTCAACAGTTACTCACATTATTAAATCCTCACCATCTATAGTGTGGTTACTATCTATCAATGTAGAAAGATGTTACAGAATCATTGACTATATTCTCCATGCTGCACTACTGTCCCCGTGACCAACTTATATTATGATTGTGAATTACTGTGCTCCTTTATCTTCCACCCCCACTCCCCAACCAGCTCCAACCCCTCCCCCTTGGTAACCACTAGTCCCTTCTCAATGTCTATGAGTCTACTGCTGTTTCTGTTCCTTCAGTTTTGCTTTTTTATATTCCACAAGTAAGTGAAATCATATGGTATTTGTCTTTCACTGCCTGGCTTATTTCACTGAGCATAATACCCTCTAGATCCATCCATGTTGTTGCAGAGGGCAGGATTTCTTTTCTTTTTATGGCTAAATAATATTCCATTGTGTATATGTACCATGTCTTCTTTAGCCATTCATCTATTGATGGACACTTAGGTTGTTTCCATACCTTGGCTATTGCAAATAGTGTGGCAATAGCATTAGGGTGAATATATCTTTTTGAATCAGGATTTTGTTTTCTTTGTGTAAATTCCTAGAAGTGGAATTCCTGGATCAAACGGTATTTATATTTTTAGTTTTTTGAGGAACCTCCATACTGCTTTTCATAGTGGTTGCACCGATTTACATTCCCACCAACAGTTTAGGAGGGTTCCCATTTCTCTGTATCCTGGCCAACATTTGTTATTTCTTGTCTTTTGGATAGTGGCCATTCTAACTGATGTTAGGTGATATCTCATTGTGGTTTTTATTTGCATTTCCCTGATGAGTAGTGACATAAAGCATCTTTTCATGTGCATGTTGGACATTTGTATTTCTTCTTTGGAGAAATGTCTCTTCAGGTACTCCACCCATTTTTTAAATTGGGTTATTTGTTTTTTAGGTGTTGAAGCATATGTGTTCTATATATACTTTGGATGTTAATCCCTTATCAGATGAGTCATTTACAAAGATATTCTCCCATACTGTAGGACACCTTTTTGTTTTGCTAATGGTGTCTTCTGCTGTACAAAAGCTTTTTAGTTTGATGTAGTCCCACTTGTGCATTTTTTATTTTGTTTCCCTTGCCCAAGGAGATGTGTCCAAGAAAAATTGCTCATTCTTAAGTTCAAGAGATTTTTGCCTATTTTTCTTCTAAGAGTTTTATGGTTTCATGACTTACATTCAGGTCTTTGATCCATTTCAAGTTTACTTTTGTGTATGGAGTTAGACTAATAACCCAGTTTCATTCTCTCACATGTGGCTGTCCTGTTTCCCAATACCAGTTGTTGAAGAGGCTGTTTTTTCCCTTTGTATATCCCTGGCCCCTTTATCATATATTAATTGACCATATATGTGTGGGTTTATATCTGGGCTCTCTCTTCTGTTTCATTGAACTATGGGTCTGTTCTTGTGCCAGGACCAAACTGTTTTGATTACTGTAGCTTTGTAGTATAGTTTGATGTCAGGGAGTGTAATCCTCCCAGCTTTGTTATTCTTCCTCAGGATTCCTTTGGCTCTTTGGGGTCTTTTGTGGTTCCATATGAACATTAAAACTATTTGCTCTAGTTCACTGAAAAAATGCTGTTGGTATTTTGATAGGGATTGCATTGAATCTGTAAATTGCTTTAGGCTGGATAGCCATTTTTATAATATTCATTCTTCCTATCCATTAGTTCTAACGGTGTTTTGGTGGATTCTTTAGGGTATCATGTCATCTGCAAATAGTGACAGTTTAACTTCTACCTTCAATTTGGATGCCTTTTCTCTCTTTGTTTTGTCTGATTGCCATGGCTAAGACCTCCAGTACTCTGTTAAATAAAAGTGGTGAGAGTGGACATCCTTGTCTTGTTCCTGATCTTAGAGGAAAAGCTTTCAGCTTTTTGCTATTAAGTATGATGTTAGCTGTGGGTTTGTTTTATATGGCCTTTATTATGTTGAGGTATATACCCTCTATACCCATTTTTTTGAGAATTTTTATCATGAATGGATGTTTTTTGTCAAATGCTTTTTTAGCATCTGTTGAGATGATTATATGGTTTTTATCCTTCTTTTTGTTAATATAGTGTATGATATTGATTGATTAATGAATATTGTACCAACCTGGCATCACTGGAACAAACACCACTTGATCATGAATGGATGATCCTTTTGATGTCTTTTTGAATTTGGTTTGCCAATTTTTTGTTGAGGATATTTGCATCTATGCTCATTAGGGATATTGTCTATAATTTTCTTTTTTTGTTTTTTGTCTGTTTTTGGTATTGGAATGATGCTGGCCTCATAGAATAAGTTTGGAAGTATTCTCTCTTCTACTTTTTGGAGTACTTTATGAAGGATGGGTATTAGCTCTTCTTTAAATGATAGAATTTAGCTATGAAGCCATCTGAACCTGGAATTCTGTTTTTTAGGAGTTTTTTGATTACCAGTTGTATTTCATTGCTGGTAACTGGCCTGTTCAGATTTCCTGCTTCTTCCTGGTTCAGTCTTGGAAGGTTGTAGTTTTCTAGGAAGTTGTCCATTTCTTCTGGATTGTCCAATTTATTGGCATATAATTTTTCATACTATTCTCTAACAATTCTTTGTATTTTTGCAGTATTCATTGTGATTATTCCTTCTTTGCTTCTGATTTTGTTCATGTGTGTATTCGCTTTTTTCATGGTAAGTCTGGTTAGGGGTTTATCTATTTTGTTTATTTTCTCAAAGAACCAGCTCCTGGTTTCATTGATTTTTTTTCTCTTGTTTAATTTTTCTCTATTGTATTTACTTCTGCTCTGATCTTTATTATATCTCTCCTCCTACTAACTTTGGGATTTATTTGTTCTTCTTTTTCTAATTTCTTTAATCCTGAGTTTAGATTGTTTATTTGGGATTGTTCTTATTTCTTGAGGTAGGCCTGTATTGCTGTGTACTTCCCTCTTAGAATTGCCTTCACCATATCCCACAGATTTTTGGGCTGTTGAATTTCTGTTTTCATTTTTCTCCATGTAATGTCTGATTTCTGTTTTAATTTGTTCATTGATCTATTGATTATTTAGAAGAGTGTTGTTTAGCCTCCATGTGTTTGCAGACTTTTTTGTTTGTTTAATTTATTTCTAGGTTCATACCTTTCAGTCTGAGAAGTTGCTCAATACAATTTTAATATTTTTGAATTCATTGAGGCTTTTTTTGTGGCTTAGTATGTGATCTATTTTGGGGAATATTCCATACACTTGAGAAAAATGTGTATCCTGCTACTTCTGAGTCGAGTGTTCTTTAGATGTCTGTTAAGTCCATCTGATCTATTGTATTGTTCAGTGCTTCTGTTTCCTTATTTATTTTCAGTCTGGTTGATCTGTCTATTGATGTGAGTAGTGTGTTAAATAAAGTCTCCTAAAATAAATATGTTGTAATCTATTTCCCCCTTTAATTCTGTTGGTATGTGTTTCACATATTTAGATACACCTATGTTGGGTGCATAGATATGGTTATATCCTTTTGTTGGTCTGACCCCTTTACCATTATGTAATGTCCTTCTTTGTCTCTTGTTACTTTCTTTGTTTTGAAATCTATTTTGTCTGATACAACTACGGCTATTCCTGCTTTTTCTCCCTATTATTTGCATAATATATCTTTTCCATCCCTTCACTTTAAG